GATGAGAGCATAGCCTTGATTTTTCAGCGGGGGCTTCAGGCAACGTGGGGTTAAGTGTCTTGCCCAAGGACACAATGACAGTAGACATCAGTGGGAGAAGGTCTTGTGGAGGCTCAAAGAACAATGCTCTACCGACTGAGCCACTGTTGCTGTTCCTAGCACTGTACATTACTGGACCGAGATGTCCGAGGTTGTTCCGGGGATCCGCTGTAACCACTCTTCTAGCTTCGGGGTCACTGCCCCGAGTGCACCGATCACCACGGGCACTACTGTCACCTTTACCCTCCAGGCCCTCTCCAGCTCCTCTCTGAGACCTTGGTATTTCTCAAGCTTTTCATGTTCCTTTTTCTGGATGTTACCATCGCTTGGGATTTCCACGTCCACCACCACGGCTGTCCTCTGCCCTTTGTCTACCACCACAATGTCAGGTTGGTTCGCCATTACCATTCAGTCGGTCTGTATCTGGAAGTCCCACAGGATCTCCGCACGCTCATTCTCCACCAACTTTGGAGGAGTTTCCCACTTAGACCTTGGAGTTTCCAGCCCATACTCTGCACAGATGTATTATTATTATCATTATTATTATTGTACTTACTTAAGTTTGTTACATAAACATTGCCACATTAACTCCCAACTGGATTTCAGAAACTGAGTAGAATGGAACAGACATTTATACTGTATGCCAGTGTCAGGTACACATAAATGAAATAAAGTTTCACATCTCCACTGTTAAATTATATATTAGGTGTCTGAATGTGTGACATCACAACATTCCAATGAGTAGTTTCATTATGTGGTAGAGGGTTTTTATAGCTAACTTATCTGTCATTCCTGGGCCAATCCACATGGAATAAAAAAACCAGTCACAAAATTCCACATTGGCTAACTATTTTTGGTGGTGAAAATATTCAAAAACATTTGCATGATGTTGGCCAGGAGAGGGACTTTCAGACATAAGAATAATGCGACAAGTTTGTAAATCTCATGTCAAATTAAGATCTGGAAAAACAATGGCTTCCTTCCCATAGTTCCCATCCCATTGACTGCAACTGAACTCTACAACACCCACTCAACCTATTAGGTTCTAAAAAAGGTCTTCCGGTTGAAACTGGCCTAATTAAACGAGTTTGGGTATTTCATCAAAATCATTATATATATTAATTTATATGATCTAAAATAAAGGCAAAGGAGATGGGTGAACAACGCTGTGCTAAGCAGTTTCCACTTCTTTAAGCTCCCAGTAAGCGCCAGGAAACACATTACTGTAATTCTTTTCCATATATAAATATAATCTTGATTTCTATAAAGCTTGAGACCAACTTTTTCCTCATTTGTCCACATAAACACAGAAAGATAATTTGACATTAAAAGTATGAATGCATGACCTTAGGGTGATAAAGCCGTCCACATCCTGTTATTGGTTGGTAAATACAACGTGTGCGAGGACATGTTGGCATTGTGGCCCCTGTTGGTGAAGCACTTTGCACTAATGAGAAGGTGTCTGTTGGCTCAGTCGGTGATAGATGGAGCGAGCACAACCTCCAGAAAGATCTTTGGCACGGCTCCTCCCTCATGAGCGGCCAAAAGAGAGTAGAAGATAAGGAAAGGGGGTAAGACAAGGGTCAGCCTGCAGGGTAATAAGAGAAATAGGCAGAAAGAAAGTAGCAGAGAAATAGTGAAAAGAGAAAGAAAGAGCGATCAAAAGGATAAGGAGGGATAGAAAGCAGGGAAAGGGGGAGAGGCAGATATGGGACAGAAGTATGATTGATGCCATGGTGTCCAGGCACAGCACAATCTGGATAAGCTCCTCAACTGTCTCTGGAACCAAAGCCAAGATCAACAGTTTACAGAGGGCTTCGAGGCGTGTCACATGTCTGGTGTTTAGTAAATGCTTTGGATCAGTGAGATTACATATTAGTTTGTGCTTATATAATAGAATAGAATAAATAACTTTGATGATACAACCTACTGTTTTGGATAATATGAAGAGAATTATATTAGCTGTAAGATAACACAGTGGGGAAATGTCAATGTTGCAGCGCACATACAGGACAGTAGTAAGAGCACACAGGGAGCACACAAACTGTACAACATAAGTAACAGGAGCCAATGCAAGATTTTGAAAAAGAAAATAACCATGTGTTTTCCCTGATCCTTATTTTCTCTTCTCTCTGAAGGTAGTCTCGACCAGCCAACATTATGCATATGTTTAACACAAAACAAAAAGTCTCGACTAATTTCCAAAAAATAAAAAATTTGACCATTTTGGTAAGTAATGACAAGAAGTTGTGGACATTTTTGTGGTTTTGGCACAGAAATAACACAGAAATTAGCAAAGATTTTTCAACTGCTCTCCACCACATTTCTAAATTGTATCGGCTCCATAGAAGGTTGTGATGTCACATGAATATCCCCTTGCTTTGAAAGAGTTACTGATAAATGTGTGTTGGATATTAATGTACAGATAATGCAGTAATTTATTGAGGTTTGGAACATTTTCCCATCCCACAAACTTTTTTCCCATCCTCATAATTGGATTTCCACCTCTGTGACTCAACACTGGTCTTGAGCTCAAATCCCTGTGAAACTTTGGATTTAGCCCATTCACTGCTTTCTACAGGATTTCGGAGCAAAGACCGCTAGTTTTAACTCTATTATAGTAAATCATGCATCAGTATATTTCTGTCAGTTCCAAAAGAGGCTGAGTGTGAGGATTGAAATAAATAACAGTATTAGTAGAAGTATTGTATGTGAACATATACGGTCTGTAAGCACAACATAAAATTAAATGAGTTGTTCTGACTTTTTACATACTTTACTAATGAATAAAGAAATCACATGAAAGTTACACTGATACATATTGCAAAAGTGGAAATGTTTGTCTCTATAGACCTTGAAAGTAGTGCCATCAAGCAGCCCCCAAAGATGCCAACGTTTGTGAGTTTAAAGGGCATCATAAAATCATAATGTTTGTGGAGCCAATGTTGATCAAATAATAATGAAAGTAAGTTGTGGAACAGAAGTTTGCATATTTATTTGATTTGTTTGTTTTCCATCTGACATTTGTGCATGCTACTGTTGTGTAGTACAGTGGGGCCACAGTCTCACTTTTCACAGCCGTGCTCTTCCGCGTATTTATATGTGCAGTTTTCCATGTTTTTTCTACAGTGTGTGTCCACCACATGTACACTTACAAACCACATAAAAGGAATATTCTATTTGAGATGTTAAGTGCTGCACTGTCCATAGCAATTACAGTATAAGTCAAGCTATGGATCAGATCTGTGGCGAGGCAAGTCCAAACGTGCAAAAGTAATATTGAACAAATCAATCATTTCTACGCCCAAAGTCAAAATGCACATGTGTTTTCCTGCATGAAGTTACATCTTACGAAAAGCTCAGGGTAATGGAAGACAGGCATATTGACCTGTCGTCCAACAGGACAGAGGGGCAGCAGAAACAAATCAAAGCTGTCCGTTGCATATTGACCGAAGTGTCCGCACTGAGAGAGATTCATGTGTGATGTTGGGCCAGAGCATAGACTGTATCGGGACCAGAAGAGAAGGAGGGGAAGGAGGGCTGTGCAAATCACAAGATTTACTGCCTTGGAAGGGAAATGTGTGCTTAATTGGCTTTTAAGCACACATTTGCCCCTCCTATGTCTGTAAATGAAGTTCCTCGCAGATAAATAAAGTTATTTGAATTGAAATTAATGTTGAGAAATGTGAAGTTCAAGCATGGATCATAGAGTTCAAGTCAATGAGTTGACTATATACATCCATGGAGGAGACCAATCTTGCTGGTGGAAAATGTGTAAAAACATGAAAACATAATTATATGAATGTATCTTATATGACGCCTTTAATGGCCTATAATGGCCTTCTGCCTACTAGTCTTTCACTTACGCTCTCGTACGCACATTTTTGTTGAGTTTTGAGTCTGAAAAAACACAACCCCGTTACCAAAGGCTGCACACGACTGACCCCTTGTGGTAATAAAAAAAAGGCATCTGCAAAGAGCTTGTACATTTGAACTTGAATAATGTTGCTGTTTGCGATTGATTATAACTTAAACACCGATGTTTTTTTTTATTAATTCATTATGTTACAAATGTATTCAGCCCCTTTTCAGAACTTTTCAATGGAGTGCAAAAAACAAAACAAATCAAACTGTATTTAGTCTGTGTTACGCAGTTGAAAACGCACTGCTGTCTAATTTACATCTATTTGGATTGTTTTCATATTTACACATTTTTTGCCAGTGATGATGTGTCCCAGTGTGAGCTGAGGACAGAGGCGGGGACGCGGACGCCTGTGCGCGGGGAGCGGGGAGCGTGTGGATGGGGGAGAGTCGGACTGTTTTGCCGTGAGAGCAGATCATCATCAGCGGCGACACACGCAGCACATAGTAAGCATCTTTTTCTTTAGCTCATTCTATGTTGTGTTTCAAAATACGTGAAGACCAGTGCTTCTGAGACATAGAAAATGCGTCAGGAACATAAATACAACGCCACACCTCATGGACACAGATGGATATGTATTTTCCTCCGGTGTATCCTTGATGATAGTTTCTGGATCAGTGTTTACGATGTTATTTCCATGTAACAACTGCTGAGCGTACAGGTCCTCCGCTGCTGTCGTTAAAGTCTATGTGTAATTCAATAATAAGGTTCATGATGACGTTGAGCACGCATTAATAAAGATAATCTATAGCTTATTTGCATTGACTGAACAATAGCACTTGACTAAAAGTTGGCTCTTGATAACGACCAGGAGCAAACTAGAACAAATACTTGTTTTTTGCACAGGTAACAATGGTCCATATAAACGTTGAAAACCTCCTGTGAAGAAGTGAGATGCACCAATTTAAAAACATTAGTAAAAACATTTCATTCCCTTCTGCTGCCTTAGCCGTGAGTATGCTTGTGAATTATGACTTAAAAGTTCACAAAAACATAGATTCTTTATATCAGCTCATGTGATAGGTGTGAAGCTGGGGCCATGGGCTGTGGGGGCAGCAGGACAGACGCGCTGGAGCCCCGGTACCTGGAGAGCTGGACCAAAGAGACAGAGTCCACATGGCTGACCGGCACTGACACCGAAATCCCCTTATCATCCATCCATAGCATCCCCTCCGAGAATTCTGAGGCTGGCTTCTCTTCGGAGAAAACTCTTAGTCCAGGTATGTACTAAATTATCAGTCCGCCCAATAAAATACCAGTCCATGTATTTCTGCAGAAAATGACATGGAAAAAAAAAAATGGGACTTGTTGGTTTCAATCTTTATCACTTGGAATGAATGGGGGAAAACTCTTATTCAAAAGATATGAACTGACCAGTGGATACAGGTGGTTTGTTATAGTTTTACATCCACAAATAAAGCATTTTTTTGCACCAATTGACCCAGAGTTGGTCCAGTTAATATGTTGTGTATATTTCTGCCGAATTTCTATTGTGACTGGTTTATGTATTTGTGGGAAGGCAACATTCAGTAAGTGCTAAAATTCAGCATAAAACCCTTTTGGTAAAAAAGGACGATTTTGTGTAATTGAAATTGATCTTGCCTTTTGTGTAATGACGAAACTAAATTCAAATTTGGGGGAGAAACACAATACAAAACGTGAACCAGACCAACAAATGTGAACAAAGTCATTCTTTGTCAAAAACACAACACTTTGACTAAAACTAGCTTTCTTTTTCTGCCAAACAATTGCTATAATCATTGCAAATAATGGCTGTAATCTTTGTAATAAATTGTAAAAACACTTTACGGCCTAATGATCATAACAACTCGTATCCTGTATCCTGCAGTGGTGAGTATTTAGGTCAAGGGCCCCATTACTAATAGGATGTGATTCATGTTATACCTGCTTTCTTGATGTGTGTTCTGTCTTTGGAGGTGAGTGAAATGAAAAACGAAGCAGCCTCGACTTAAACACAAGCTTATAAGTTATTATATTCTCATACAAGTGGCCAGTGCTTGTCCCCAGAAGATGCCATTCTGAATGTGTCTTTGAAGCCATAAGGACATGAATCAGTAAATGAGTTTAAAGCTACATCAAAAGCCAGGGCTCTCAAAGGGATTTTGCTCTCATGGCAACAGATCCAGCTGTTTATTAAAGCAGAAGAGATTTTACGAGATGCATTTAGTTTTAGTTCTTTACGGCCAATGAAACAGACATGTAAGAAACCAAAATAAACAGCCCACAAGTAATGTAATTATTTCTACACTGCTGCACAAACTCATTTCTAAATGTCAAGTGCACCAGTGCTAGGTTGTATAATAATTAAGGACCTACTATGCACGTTGTCTAGACTGTTTTGATCCATCTCACCAAGAGATTGAATTGTAACTTTAAAGACAATTTGAAACTATGCACGTGTGTGTGTTTCGGCCTAAAGTTAAAACCATGAATAGTCATGCTGAATAGAGGTCAATTCTGAAAAGATCTAACTTCACGTGTTCATGTATTTATTTGGCCATCAAACAATTCATTTTTATAATGTTAGAACCCCATCTTTAAACATTACATAGGTTCCTGGGGTGCCCATTTTTTAAGGGTCACAAAGATATGCAACATGATTTCAATACATCTGAAACCTGTGATGGACCGAAGAATACATGTAACTGAAATCTAACTTTATCTGCGAGCTGACTGTGTCTTGGCATTTGAGTGACAGCAGTTCATTAACTACCCAGGTGTATACTCTACAGACAAGACTACGCAGCATGCTCTCCACAGATGGCTTTCGATCACTGTCACATCACACACATGATTAAGAACTTCTTTGATTTCAGCAGTTTAATCGAAAAATGACCTGGGTCGTGTCAGTTGCAGATTTCTTTGAAGACAGCCTCCCTCCTCCAGCCCAGGCGTATCTAAAGGTCTGCTCAGCGGTGTCTGAAGCCAGTCTGGACGACGTTAAACCCAGCAGTCCTCCTGCCATTCTGGCTTCCCCACAGCAGGAGGTATCAACTTCCTCATCTGGCAACACAGTGCAGTGTCGGAGTGTCCTACATGCAGAGGAGATTGTGAGCCTCCCCCATCATTTGTCATAAAAGCAAAGCCTCCCTTGTGCCACTCCAGTATCACTGTCTAATTTTGTCCCCTTTTAGAAAAAATGGCAAGACAATAGAATGTCCACAAAGCAGGTTACGATCACAGTGACCCAGAGCATTCATCAAGTGGACAGAAATGGAAAGTTGAAGAAGTCGACAACCACATACGAGGTGGTGAATCCGGTGGAGTCGATCAAACAAGTGCCCTCACTGAACTCATGATCATCTCTGGAGTCAGAAAAAAAGCCATCGGAAGAACTGTGAATGAATTTACACTTGTCGAGTGTCAATTCAGCCCAATGGGTTCAGGAAAAGATAACGTAAAATTATAGGAAAATGTATTTTGATGCGATTGCAGTATTTTTCTGTACTTGGAAGACAAACGAAGAATACGTTTGTAGATAAAATGTAACAAAAAATAAATGTTTGTGTAACTGCAAGGACATAATGGTCATTTACAATGTAGGATGAACCAAAACACATACTCAGGTGAACTGAAAGTATGTTATAGGTTGAAGCGACACTTTAAAAAAATGTGTTTACAAAGCAGAAATAAATCCTATGAAACAATCAGAAACAGAACAAACATTAATACAACGCAAATGTTGAAGTTTATGAGAAAATATAAATAGTATAATTTAGCAGTTGTGGAATCAGGTAAGTATTGAAAGAGTATGAATCATTTTGTGAGGGTCATAGATGGCCTTTCCAGCTCTATATAGAGGCTCCTCCTCTTTCATCCATCTATCAATGCAGAAATCCGGAAAGAAAAAAGGGATCTCTTTTTGTGCAGACTCAACAGAATCTGAAAAAAGTAAAGCAGACAACTAATTTAATTTAATTGTACATTGACTTAATAAATGTACAATTTATAATTCGGGTATACTACACCTGAGCCATGGGTCGTGTTCCTTGTGTCCGTAAGTCCGAAGCGCCCCCTGATGGTATCTGGAGAGGTGTGTCTGGCCCTGAAGACTTTTGTCGGCCCCATCATTTCTCTCCAGTGACGTATGGCATCATCTCTGGCTAATATGTATGCTTGCATTGGACCACTGGAGATGGATCAAGGTAAAATGATGCACTAAACAATATTATTCTGGTTATGTGGTAGATTGCAGCACAACCACGGTCCACCTTCACACTTAATGATGGGATGGAATATTTTTTGTTGAAGAACATCAAATATAGACTCACACATGTTAAGCTTTTGAGTCAGGTAATTTTGATAACGGATTTGAGATAATGAAAACCTAAAAAAAAAAAACTGGGAAAGTTCAATGTTTGGATATGTTTTTAGATGTTTGTTAAATAAATACATTATCAGACATTTAAGTGAAGTATCTCTTGAACTTCATGCGTTTCTTTTATAAGAAAGATGTGAATCATTTGGAGATATTACTGGTCATATTTTCATATCTGTTTATCTCTCCTATTATCACTTAAATACTGCATACAAATGTATGTTATCTGTAAATGTATTGCACATTACTTAAAACACATTATCCTTAGAGTTGCAATAAAATGGTAATGATGCTTTCAGTAAAAGAAAAATGTTTAATTACTCCAACACGTTGCTGTAGCGACTGCTTCTCTAATCATTTGCCTCGGCTGCGCCAGTGTGTAGTGAGAGAGCTTTTGTAAAGTGATTTTAATTCAGTGATTAGTGCTAGAGCGAGCGTGACACTTATTTTAATGTGTTTTACCTTGACATAAATTCAACAAGTCGTTGATAGAAGAATCTGTCTGAAAAAAAAGTGTTAATGCTTTTAATTATTGTTTGACATTGAATTTATTTCTATGAGCAATCAGTACACTTACTTGAATGTTCAGCATAAAACATTTCTGAGTGTTCCTTTTTCCAGTGTAAATCTTTGCGTCTGATGATGAGAAATTTATTTTCAAGAATGTTGGCATTAATTGACTGAAAGGAGAAAAAACTGCATTATAGTTCAACACAATAGCAAAGGAAATCCATGTGTGTAATGGGTGAATGTATAATCGAAGTGAGTCACAATTGTAACAATAACCTCTATGATGAGAGGATGAGCCACGGCATCAGGCTTGATGACCGCCAGGGTGAGCTGCAGGACTCTGCAGAGCCGAGGCACAGTCACAAACATCTGAAATGACAACAGCGTTACCTTTACTAGTCCTGGAAGACGCTCTGCAAATGAAACATGAAATCTCCGACACACTGTCAGTCAAAACAAATATATTGCACAAGGTAGCTTACTAACCTTGGCAAAAATCCTTCTCACATGTAATGAAAGAATGTTTAAATACTGCTCAAATCTTTTGTTGATGTAGTGAAAATCCCACGTTTGAATATACTCCGATAAAACACTCACGATAAACTAATGTATCCATAATAAACCATTTGAGAGATCAACTCTCCCCATTCTGCACGAAAAGAGTGTCGTCTAATGTCGTCCGTGGAAACGTGGGCTCTGTTTTGGAGTTCCGGAGCAGTGATAATTCAAACACCTTATAATTATAGTTTGTGCTTGTATCTGTTTGTGTCTGTAATGTTCAATGTTAATGTTTCTTTTTACTAATGTATTACTATATTATTGCATTGTACTTACTTTTTGGACACTCAAAGATGCTTCACATGGCAATACCATGGTCATCAATACTCATTTGCTCCATCCACAGTGGTGTTAGCTACTACTGCATCTACATCAGCCCTGGTGGCAGACTGACACAAGTTAGGTTTCTAAACCTGTGCTATCAGGTGCTCCAACCTTCACCAGTCATTCACGTACAAGTGTCTTGCCTAAGGACACAATGACAGTTTGGAACTTTATAGCCACAGCCGCTCCATTATGGCACAAGCGGTCTCCCAATCCAGTTTTCTTTTTACAAAACATGCAAAAAAGGCTTTCACAAACAGGTTGACAAACATTCAGGAGATTATCACTTTCAGATCAAGTTGTGTTTTACAATGAGAGGGACCATATATCTGTTGTATTTCATTCATAATGTGAGTAAAAAGCAAACATGATTACACACACTGGCAAATGCAAGTAATTCAAAAATGACCACACGCATAAAATTAACAATGTGGATGGGACAGAAGAGAGAGCAGCGCCGGTCTTCCACCTGCCCATGCCATGTGACCAGTCTAACCACAGCTGTTGTCTCCCATGAGGCTAGAACAGAGGAGATTTTGGGTGGGGGTGATATTAAAATTTTATTGCCTGAAGATTTGGACTGGAACTTAACTCAGGACTTTAGAATTGCTCGGCAATTAGATGTAATGCCAGAACAGAACATTAGGCTACTACATTTTATTGAGAAAAGTGAAAAAACAATTTCTTAATCATTGCTCGTACACCCAGTCCATTCATTTGTCAGTCTGTTTATCAAAATATGGATTTTAAACAAGAGGTAAAACTGTATTTCAGAAAATGAGCATTGTCTTGGAACACAGTTCGACAGCAGCATCAAAAGTATGGGGTTGAGCTCCACTATTTCTTTTTTTAATAATGTTGCTTATATAATCAGAATCAAAAAAATCAGAATCATTTTTATTTCCATGTAAGTAACAGGATGTCACAGAATAGGAAATTGCTTTGGCTCTCGATGCGACAATATCTCGGTATAAACAACATAATTCATAATATTTGTGTGGTAAATTGGTTTAGGGAGATATTGATGATAGGTGATCAAATTGAAGCTTCAAATCTTTTGTGTAGACTTCTAAAAGAGTAGGTGAAAACAGACAAAAGCATTATCAGTGCTGAATGCGGTTCATACTTCAATCTACCCTTAAATGTTCGTCAAGGGCAAGTTTCAAATGGGAAATCTATCATCTGCTATAGCAAAGGGGTTCATTACTCTCATCCAGAAATATCTTCTTTTACCATTACCCTCTTATCAAAACACATCACAAATCAAGTGGATATTGTAAGTTAATTCTAATGGAGTCTCCAGCCGAAACAAAGCAAGTGTACTGTTCTCTCCCCTCATGGCAGCAGCTTCAAGCCCGGGGTTCAGCTCCTGCTCCGTGCACAGACCTCATGGCTGCTATGTGGGCCTCTGCTACAGTTGTCGCTCCCTTTTGGTCGCAGCAGGCAGCTGACTGACGACCCCCATGCACTCCTGTATGTTCATTCATGAATCAACTACAACAGTGGGCTGAAATGCTTATGAAAGCATGCTTCACATACTGTAGCAACACAAGATACTTTCCTTTTTTATCTAATATTTCTGACAAAATACCACAGACAGTTGTTTCTTTATTCATAACTTCAGTAATAGCCCAGAACCATCCTCATGATGTGACGTGTATGGAGAGTCTTCCGACCTCTGGGTGAGTTGATCAGGGCACTTTCATGTTCTACTGTAGTGGCTGGAGGTGAGAACAGTGTTGTAATGAGTTTCCTGTTCTGGCACCCTCTACACCAACAAATCAGCTGCAACTAAACTTTTGTCCCACACACTTCTGCGCTTCACACATCTTTGTCCTTTTGACAGTTTACCAAACACTTGCACTCAAAATGGGGCTAAGGAAATACATTCTAAGGAGAACAAAAATCTGAGGTTATTTTCTTATGATGAGTTAACATACCTGAACAGTAAATGTAGTGTTTGGACTTGAATGTTATATAACAGACAAATTATTCACAACGTTTTTTTATTGTCCTTACTTAACAATGTCAACATTATCATTTTCAATCTTGCACCTTTATCTTTTTATTGATAAAAATTATGATGATTGTACCTCATACGTTTTAATTTCCTTGTAGGCCTTCAGTGTTCTCGTCACATACACTGTATTTTACCTCACAGTGTAGCTACATTATTCTGATCAATGTCACAATATTGTAGGCTCTACGAAACAAGCAATTTAAAAAAAATCAAATCTATTGTGTTTTCTGTTTTTAAGTTCATAACTTTGATCTCATAATGCAAATTTACTGATAATTGATGATTGATATCTGGTACAAGAAGAAATGGACAAAGACCCGAAGTAGAAGGCCACGGTTACAAAAGTGGCAAAGGACAACAAAGTCAATGTTTTTGAGTGGCCATTGCAGAACTCTGATCTAAAATGTGTGAGTAGATCATACAGTACGTGAGAGTGAGGTGGCTTGCACACCTGGCTCAGTTACACCAGTCAGGAGTAATCGACCAGAATTCCAACCAACTAACGTAAGATTGTGGAAGGATACCCAAAAGTTTGACCCAAGTCAAGCAGTTTTAAAATAAACTTTTATCCCTACGATAGATTAGTTTTATGGTTTTACCAGTAAATAAAGCACCGATCCTGAACAAAGGGTTATGTTTGATGAGACGATATTTGTAATTGAACGGGAGAAACATCTGAAATCCTGAATATAATTGGATTTAATTGGACATCCATAGTATCTTCCTCCAATGACCTGAACACATCCTCTGTGTGACGCATGTGGAATGAGACGCCTTCACCTCACTGTCACCTGTTCTCTGTTTTAGGCTAAATGCTGTGACCTTTGGCCAACACACAGGAGCTGGCTTCCTGCAGCAGCTGCGACAACCTCAGCCCTGGCAACTGCTGTGCCCAAGCAAGGACAGAGAGGGGCATGAAGACATTCCTCCTCATGAGTCAGCAGCACATCTTGTAGTTCTCTAATGTATGTTTTTGCACACTGCATCACATGTAGACTCACCAGACTACCTACTCAAGATGTTTCTGGCACATGGCCTGTAGCACATAAACTCAATAATATTCAAGGGCTTGCAAAACTATGATAGTTATATTACCAAACTTTTGAATTAAACTAATCTATAATTTGTTCTGTTTTCAACTAATTAATGTTGGTCATATTACCAACTGCTGCAAACTGGTCCTTAATCATTCATTCATCCACAAGACTCTTCCCATGAAGTGTCTTGCCTTAGGACACAACCACAGTTTCCATTGTACAATCAAACTGTCTGGTGGTCTGCCACAGTTAAAGTACTAACCAGGCACATTTCTGGAAAATATATGGGTCAATCCAATCAATATCCGTTAGATTGGTAGTTTTTCCAACCATGTGTTTTTGTAAAACACATCAAACTTTTGTAAATGTTGTCATTTTTCTGATCACACATTTTTTTAAAGGCCACAACAAATCAACTGTGAAGAAAAATATATGATTTTTGTAATTTCCAAATAAATGGAAAGAAAAGTGGGACTTGCCCATGTATTCATACAGCATTTAAATTAGCATTTCCTAATGACTAAAAGTCAGGCAAGGCAAGTTTATTTGTATAGCACTGTACAAGCCAATTCAAAGTGTCCAACAGAACAAGAACAAAGTGTTTATTTGGATGGGACAATCTAATGAACAGTTCTGTAAATATGTTGGATTGTATCCTTTGGTTCATTTCCATCCGTTGTCACCAGAGTCAAACACAGAGATTTCCCACGCTTTAAATATCTTACAGAGCAGTATTATTTGGAAATGGAAAGAGATTGGCGCCACTGTAAAGTTACCTAGAATATCCAAACACACTAAACAAGGAGAGCAAACAGATGCGAGGCCCATGGCCGCTCTGAAGGAGCTGCACCCGTCACACATCACCTTCGTCCACGAGACGAATCATGTAATACACCACATGCATCATGCTGTGGGGCAGCTTTTCTTCAGCAGGGACAGTAAAGACATGGACAGGTGATTGGAGCATAATGCAGCAGAAAGCTTTGGAGAAAACCTGTTGGAATTTGCAAAAGATTTGTGACAGAGCTTTTTCATTGCAATAAAAAAGAATAGATTCTAGATGTACAATGCTGGGGAAAAACATACCAGTGTTGCAAGATTTTCATCTCTAATTGGAGCATGGGGTTCCACATTGTGTTGACTTAGTGGAGTTTAAGACTTTTTCAAGCTACATTATAATAAATTATTATTATTATTATTATTATTATTATTATCATTAAACAAAGTAATGTAGCATATTGCTTCCACTTTCTTTCACACACTGTCACTTTGTGTCACTTTTACACACAATGCCAAAAAAGGCAGAAAACTTCATGGGGTATGCATTTTGTAAAGGCACTACAGGTTTTGATTTTGCAGGTTCATTTTAAGAAACAAACATGTTTTAAAGCTCATAATACACACATATCTCTGATCACAGTCTCCCTGCTCTGTGGAGACTTGTTAGCTGCTGCTAAGGAAGTGAGCGGTGTGGTGACCTCCCAGACGCTGTGCTTATGACAGACGGGAACAAAGTCATTAGCAATGAGCCCCGCTATGTGAACACCAGACTGAAATAAACTCACAGCCCAATTTGTAGACAACAGCAGTGGTGGTCAAAGTTTACAATCTTCCGAGATTGCTCTAAATGTGAATCATGACAAGTTTAGTGAATCTGATTCCATCTGGGAAGGTGTAATGGTTGGCAGCCCTTGTGTTTTGCCTTTCAGCATGGCCTGTATAGGACAAAAATGTGGATAAAACGATGTTTTAATAAAGATAAGATAAGAAGGGTTTCTTAGATTAATATGTTTTGTGTATTCTTAGATTATTTGAAAACACACCCATAGCTGTGCATATCAGCTGTCCTGTAAACAGGAACAAACGGATTACAATGTGTCTTAACCATTGTGAGTGACCAAAAGAATTTACACAACTACAAAAGCCATCTGATATTCTCAGTACCCAAATTTATACGTGGTGAGGCCTTGGCACATAGCTGGCATTATTGGAAATGTTGCATTTGTGATACACCCTGGCTGGGGTCCATGGGAAATATTGAACAACTGTCGAATTTAGATGACATCCTGTGGCAAGACAAGAAAAAACGGGAGCTACAAAGATGCAATGGGGTCTATTTGTAGACAGCTAGTGCCTCCAAAATAGAGAAAGCATTGGGTTTCAATATAAGCCCCCTCACTCTGAGCTGCAGCTTTCTGTGAATGAGGCCCGGGTTCCTATCACACCCAGCCTCTGAGCTGATTTTAGAACACAGGTGTTGACCTTAGCGGGGCAGCTTGTGCTTGCACCAAAGGAAAATGAACCCTCTTTGCCTCCCCAGCATTACCAATCACGATATGGATCAGGGCTGGACATTAGCAGCCCTCTTATAAACAATATTTACGCAGATACTGTTTATAATTATTCAAATGATTTGAAGTCTGTCAAATATTTTGTAAAGAGGAACACTATCAAAATGAAAAAGGCTGAACAGCATGAAGGTCCTGGGTTCATCAGGAAATCCCTGAGCCATATGGGGCCCTTCTGTGAGGAGTTTGCATGTTCTCCTTATGTCTGTGTAAGTTCCCTATGTAAAACAGTGACTGTGAGCAACAGATGGCACCCGGTGTTCATTAATGCACACTTTCCCACTCAAAATGAATAAATATACTGATAAAACACACTTTGGATCATCTTTGGAGATATTGTCACAGTTGTAAAAGGGGTTAGGTCGTATAATTCTTGACTTCAGCATTAATTACTTTCGATCAAGCATTATTTAGCACAAAACATCTTAATATACACAATTTTGCGCTGTTTTTTCTCATTGTAAAACATATATGATCTTTGAAAACCTGTGACCTGAGATCTAATGTACATAATGGCCCAAGAAATAAACTCGTACTGCTACTATGAAACACACTTTCTTAGCGATGTCTTTCTTTGCCAAATGTAGTGAAGGGGGAATAGACATTAAGGACATTCATTTGTTTTGAGTAGTGCACCATACTCACATTTCCATGTTGCTGTGAAGTGCCGCAGTGGTGAGACACTCACCTTGAGAATTTATTGCTGGCTCTTTGGTTCCACAAGAACTCATATAACTTATTCATACCTCTCACATGCCACTGGCTCTTCTCATGACATAGTTTTCGTAACAATACATCACACACCCACATAGTAGCACACTCCACACAGACATGTGGAGCTTCAAAAAATGTGTTTGTGTAAAAAAAAACACATTTTTAAGTATTTTTGCTTGTCCCAAGCCGGGCCAAATCTTCCATTTTTAATATAGGCCACAAAAGAAAACTGAATCTTGGAGGTGGTCATTTCTTGAAAAAAGTAGCTTTATGTGTAGCTTTTAGAGAAGAACCACATTGACATTGGGTGTAAAATGGAGGCTGGTGCTGGGTAGGGTATGCTGGAGGTTCTGTTGGAGGGTGTAGGGTGTCTCGAGCCCAGTGCGAACAGCTGAGAGGTGTGATTTCACAGGCTGGCTCCCCCCTGTCAGGGTCCTGATTGGGCCGGACAGGAGGCACAGGAGAGGCCCGGGGCTTCTAAAGGACACCAACAGGTGGGAGGCCTCTTCGGAGGGGGCCGCTCCGGGCCGCCATAGAAAAGGGCAGGAGACCAGGCCTGTTGTCCACACATGCGTCCGCCAGTTTAGAGCAGGCATCACGCTCAGTAAGAAGATGGAAGCGTAGTGGTTTCAGGGGTTTGGGCCAAGTTTAGGGGTAAAACAAGCCTTTTTAGTGATCTCTCAAAGGTTTTAACTTTTCAGACTATGTACTCAAAACCGTGTCATTGCTTTCAGATTTTTAACAAGCAACATTGTAATTTGTTTTTTAAATTATAGTCCTAATGCTTTCATGCAAGGAGTTGGATTAGGAAAAACACAGGGATGTTTATTCATTATTTACAAATATATGTTATATATATTTTTATTTTTGACCCTCTATAGTAAGCTTTGATAGATCCAGCATTTATCTGGAAATAAGAGACTTTGCAGGCCAAGACTTCGGTTGCCTTCATCATATAAGAAGGCACAACTCAAAATCACAAGGTGAGTAGAAATTATTAAATGTGATTAGTTTTGAAAAAAAAAAAAAAAAAATCAGATTATTTGTGTGGCTTGTTGTTATTGTAGGATCTGAATGTGTTATATCACCTTGAAATGATTTACTTTAGTTTCTTTGACAACATTCAAACTCTACCTTGATATTTACCCTATATAACCATTTCCAACTCAATATCAACATTTGAAACTGCTGGCTTTTGTGTCACTAATATCTATTTCAAGTTATATGTTTGATGCCATTGCTCCATCCGTCACAGTCGCCTATTGTCAAGCTGCTGGTTCCCGCTTCTCTGCATCTGTGGCAATGAAAGGGTGCTTTGTGTCCAGCATCCAGTTGTTGCCCCTTGCGAAGACATGCTTCCTTATATCCCCATATTAATACGCCTCTTATGGAATGTAAGGAAGTGTGTGGTTGCAAGGGGAAGAGTGCACGGATCAACCACAGATGAAGAAGCCTGTTTTAAGACTTTTTTTTGAAGGAGTTGCAACAGAAAGAGGACAGCTTGTGTGCTTTATGAGAAGGGAGGGTGTGTCATGGCCAAAGACAACAGGTGAAGGGCCTGCTGTGTCCTGCTTGAGCCCTTGGACGTGTGCAGTTAGTATTACTCCTGCTGCTGTTGCTGGTGATCGAGTGCCTGCCCCAACTGCTGACCGTCAGAGAGGATTGACAGAGCACAGCTGTCACCCATTATAGCAACCACAGAGCTCTGAAAAATGGGTAGAGGGGGGAGGAAGAGGGCTGGGATGTGGCACTGTCACTGTGGACTGGGATTCACCCGTATAAGCTGTTTTGGGAATGAAACAGGCTTCCCCCAACCTCAAAATAGGACCAGTCTGCTTGGTAACATGACTGTTTTGCAATATCACTAATCACAACTTCTTTTTTTTATGCTTTCAGGTAAGAAGCATGTGAAGAGAGGATGCATTTCTTTTTTCCAGCTTCCTATATCTTTGTACAGTTCTCCTCCTGTCTTTCTATCCTTGGCTATTGCAGCTGAAGCAGCACGCCTTGCTGTGGCTGGTCAAACGGAACCAAGTCAGGTGTTACTGTGAGGTTTGGTCCCCTTCAACCAGCTACTGCGTCGTGAATTCAAACAGCAGACACCCACGTGGAGAGACCAAGGCGTTGTGCTCAAGGCTGCATTCTTTTCCTTTTATTCTTACCGCTTTAAACTGCTTTTTGTGATAATTTTCATTTAAAAATACATTAAATACTTGTCAAGTGTGCAGATGTTTGTATGCTTTTTTGTAATAAAATGTAAAAATGTGTCAAGTATACTCCCCCTGCCAACAATCAACAGTTCCCAAAATCACAAACAAACTACACTTTCCTGGATGTAATGCAAATTGTGAAGTTAAATGAGAAACTATCATGTAGGAAAAGTCAATTGTAGACTACATCAATGTACTTGAGAACAGTTTGTATTTCTATGTAACACACATGACACCTAATTGGATTTAAAAATAAACAAATTATAGATATGTTTTTTTCCTGTTTTTTAAATCTAACAATAAAACGTGTTCTATGAAAATTATTCTCTCCTGTCCTTTACACACACAAATCAAAATCATATTATGTCAAATAACCTATTACTTGTGGAGGCATGACAGTAATTATTCTAATGGGTGTTGCCGGCCTAAGGATTTAAAAAGCGTTGCAATAACTTTGGCCGATAAGCTACATTGTGTAAGAACAGTTGTTTCTACAATTTTTCTGAGACTTTGATTTTATTTGATTAAATTATTCATTTCAAACATGCATGCATAAGGGAAAATACATACATAATGTGGATTTAACTAATGTTTGTGAACAAATGAAAAAATACAAATAAATACAAATGTCACCAATTTTGAATTCATATTAATTTTAAAAATATATTTGAAAAGAGCCTATCCAAGAGTTTGAATGGATAAAAATGTTATTTGGCCAAATCTACACCACATTCATTACAAGAGAAATTCACAACTTTCCAGGTGCGTACCATAGCGTCCCCTACAGGCTTAAAGGCGCATGAAGCCTTGTTTTCTTTGGGAGTTCAGTTGTGTTGGTTGATGATATTTTATCATCACGTCCTTTATCAGGCCATAATTATGATAATCCAGTCTTTTTCACTACTTTTTATTTGAAAACATGTCATTAATAGTAGCATGCTTATTTTGTGTCTGTAAAGTATAGTTTAGGTTTTAAATTGTAAATCTGTGTGGGTTTGGCCAAAAAACATTGTCATACATTCATACTCAACTCATAAACTGTAATTGTTCAAAAATTAATTGAACATAGACATATAATGGGCGGATCAGTGCATTTGTGTGGATGAGCAGCAGTACCTGTGTCTGCCACTAGAGGGCGGTGTCGTTGGTTCCTTCACAAAGCGGAAGTGGAGGACTGTGTAAACATGGCGGACAGTGAAGTGACAGGTGAGGCTGAGCAGTGTGGAACAGCTGGATTTGACTCTATTTGTGATGTATTCTCTTGTATTCATGCTCGTTGGAGACTGTTTGAGTGCTTTGACTCATATTCCGGTGTTAGTCTTCGTGGAGAACTGTACAAAGTCTTACTGTGGAGTTATTTCAGGATACTGGCGTTAGCTTTAGCAGCAGAATGAACGCGACTCTCCCTCAGTGGGATGTTTGTCCCCTGTTGCATCAGCTTGTTATGCTGTCTGCCATCAAATGTAGAAACTATAAGAGATGTGTTTGTTAGAAATCCCACAGTAATGTAAGTTTTATAGAGATGCTTGGGATAATAGGGCCTGACTACTAGAGCATCATAAGACTACACAGAGCAATACATACCAATATGTTGTCAATCTCATGTTATATTTTTTCTTTCAGATCAATCTGGCCCGAAGGATGGCATTGAACGGGCAAAGGTTTGTGTGAGATTAAAAATTAAATGTGGTTCATCGAGCAACTTATTATCTGGTCAACCAAACGATTAAATTCAGCTGCTCTAAGTCTATATTTTGCTTCATATTTATGTATGTCATTAGAATGAAGGCAAAGAATTAACCAAAGAAGAAAAGCAGCGTCTCAGAAAAGAGAAGAAACAACAAAAAAAGGGCAAGGAGAAGAAAGATGACAAGGCTCCAAAAGAAAGTCAAAAGGAAAAGCCTCCAGCTGCTGCTGCACAACCATCAACGCAACCATCAACGCAACCATCAACGCAAGCTCCATCACAGAAAGGTCTTTTTACATTTGCCTGTAAAGTGAAGACATGAATTTCAAAATCACACTTTATATTTTTTCTTGGTTTTGTTTCTGTCTAGTCTGTTCAGCAGTTCCAGCCCCTGCTGTGGCTGCAGCTGCTGCAGAGACTACGGCAGCGAAAGAGAAACCCACCAAGAGCAAAGCTGAGCTGAAAGCAGAGAGAAGAGCTCGCCAAGAAGCTGACAGAGCCTCCAAACAGGGCAAGAAGGGAGATGGTGCACAAGCGGCACCTGCCAAGTCCAAAGCGGCTCCAAGTGAACTACAGCCAGGTAATGAACACTGAAAATGCATCAAATCTATTTATCAGAATATGAGTCTGAAATATCTTGTCTTTTCAGTTGTTAAGAGGCTCCCTGAACATATTCAAGTTGATAATCCAGACGTTTTAAAGAAGTTGGCCAAAAAGTTGGAAAGGCAACAAGTAAGAATGTACATGTTTATGCATAATGAAGTGTGAAGTATTTAACATTTGTCATTTAAAACAATTATAATATGAAAATAATACAAATAATATTCAAACAAAGTCTAAATGGTTATGGCTGGACCTAAACATTTTTCAGACGCCTGAGAACATTGCAGATAAAAAGGTACAGCCCTCAAGTGTGCGTTTGCCATTTTTATATGTAGTAATGTTTTTTGGGTATAAATTATGTTCTGAGGTATGAATTCAGTTGAAAGTTTGGGATTGGGCTTTTCCCTGCTGTAGAGATGTAGCTGTGTGGCCATACAACTTTTTTTCTTTGCAGTTATTGTGTTCTAGTGTTCTTCATATGCAATGTTCCATTTTTCATGCGTGTTAATTTTTCAGATCCCACTTCGCTCGGACTATGGTTACAAAGTCAGTTTGTTTTCTCACCTTCACCAGTACAGTCGAAAAGCTCCACTAACGCAACAACTTAGGTAAAGTATCAATGATCTTTGGTTATAATCACCAACCACTTTTCACCTTTTAAGGGACACATTTTGCAAAATCATCTGTCAAGCTTCATGTTACAATATTGCTTTCTTATCAAAAACACACCTGGAGTGTTTCCCAGGCCGAGCCACTCAATCTGTTTTGGCAGAAATTGACACTCACAGTACAATATGACAGCAAGCTACTTACTTATTTACAGGTTTCATAGTAGTATAAATTAGTTTAAAGACCTTATGACGGGTTTGATTTATTTAGAAATACAGTTTTAATACCATTTTATATTAGAAGAGGTTGGTGACGTCAGAACGGGTACGTTTCAACGCTGTAAGTTGTTTACAATTTGGTATTCGTTCTTTTTTCGCGGATATTCAAGATGACAAGGCCATGTACAGCGAGTCTAAGATAACTACTAGAATGTAACGTTTTGTTGTCATTGAGATAGTCCAGTGGTTGTGTCGATGGACTGCCAATCCAGATACTTGGGTTCAAATCCCACTTCGGACACTTTTTCACACTCAAAACGGCAATTTATGTGTAGTGAGCAATTGTCACCTGTAGAGGGCAGTATTGTGTTGGGCATCAGTGGAGAGAAGAGAGAAAAGGCAGTCCTGTGGCATAGATCCATGGTTTTCAATGCATGGGCGTAACCCGCTATGACGTCACACACAGGTTAGAGCATAGACAACTTAAATTCATGAAAAACACGTTCTTTTTATAAAATATAGGATTTTTTTTTGCCGGAATCTCTTTCAAATTGACATTGTCATGCAATTTTGATATCCACTATTTTTTTTTTTAAAAACCCGTTATAAGGTCTTTAAGGCATTTAACCATTAAATTACTATCTTGCCAAATATGTAAAGTGTGTGTTTGTTGTTGTGTGTTGCTCATTTTAGAAAAGTCTTACTCCGTTTTTCATGCTTATCCATACATTCCTTCACTTTGGAAATGTTTTCAAACCGCAAAACATATAAATAAAATGCAAATAAGACGTGATAAACCAGATTTTGTTTGTTTTTGTTGCAGCATTCCTTCCTCTGTGATCCATCCAGCTATAGTGCGACTAGGACTACAGTATTCACAGGGGATTGTAGCAGGATCCAACGCCCGCTCTGTGGCACTATTGCATGCCTTCAAACAGGTACAACTCCAAGAAAAACCACAGCCCACGACAGTTTTATTAAAAAGGAACGTGTGTCCTTGTTTGGGGTCTCAATTTGTGTTTCTTGTTGCAGGTGATTAGGGACTACACAACACCTCCAAATGAAGAGCTCTCAAGAGACTTGGTCAATAAGCTAAAACCTTACATCAGGTATATCTTAAAAAGTCTGTTATAAACTTATTTGTAGCCCGATGCCTTTTACTAGAGGGGTGGAAAAATATGTTTTCACATACTGAAAAAATACATACAAATCTAATGCTTTATTCATATTGTTTAGGCAGGTTACAGACATGCAAATGTATTTATTTTTCTCAGGATTGTTACATTTTCTAACAAGAAACTTTACCTTTCAGTTTTTTGAACCAGTGTCGCCCTCTATCAGCCAGCATGGGAAATGCAATTAAATACATCAAGAAGGAAATATCTAATATTCCTAACCAGTGTAAAGATAAAGAGGTATCATTGTTTTTAATGCAATTATTTGTTAACATTATTATGTTAACATGTTGTGTGTTTCAGGCTAAGAATAAATTGCTGAACTGCATTGATTGCTACATAAATGAGAAGATTGTTCTTGCTGCGAAAGCTATAGCCAAGTATGCGATAGAAAAGATCAGTGATGGAGATGTCATTCTTGTGTATGGATGGTGAGCAGCACACTACATGAACAATTCATAAAACTATACAACAAACTTCATGCCTTTCTTCTCTTTCCCCAGCTCCTCTCTGGTAAACAACATATTATGTGAGGCTTTTGAGAAGAACAGAAAGTTCCGTGTGATTGTGGTGGACAGTAGACCACGGCTGGAGGGACGAGAGGCTTTGAGACGCCTCGTGCAGAGGGGCATCAGGTGTACCTATGTGCTTATCTCTGCAGTTTCATACATCCTTCCTGAGGTATGGAGACGTTTACTCAGCCTTCAACCTCATGTTGTTCTTCATTTGTTGTAATTGTAAGTGCCATTATGTGTCTTGCAGGTATCAAAGGTGTTTCTCGGTGCTCATGCTCTCCTTGCCAATGGGTATGTGATGTCTCGAGTGGGAACATCTCAAATTGCTCTCGTGGCCAAAGCCTTCAACGTGCCTGTTTTGGTGTGCTGTGAGACGTATAAGTTCTGCGAGAGGGTCCAGACGGACTCGTTTGTGTCTAATGAACTTGGTATGTGGTGACCATATTGGCTACACAACACATAAAACAGTTAATCATAATCTATCTTTCCCAGATGACCCTGACGACCTCATCGTGACTCGTAAAGGGAAGACTCAGTTGGAGAATTGGCAGGATGTAGAGCTGTTGGGCCTTTTGAATCTGGTCTATGATGTGACGCCGCCAGACTTTGTGGACTTGGTGATCACAGATCTGGGCATGATTCCTTGTACCTCGGTTCCTGTTGTTCTTCGTGTGAAAAATGTGGACATGTAAACGGATGAGAAATCTTTTACTGATAAACACAATATAATGGTTTTAGCATGCAATAAATATGTGAACGCATTTTATTGCAAATGTATTTAATCACACATTTGTTTCTTTCTCAAATTATTCTGCAAAAACTTATTGCATATATCCTTTCATAGAAATTTGCATATAGAAATTCAAAGAACAAAAACATCTAGTACATGTCAACTAAAACATAATAATACAGAAGTAACCACAGTGAAGTGTAGGTTTGTAACAGAATACAATTGTCAGTGCACACAAGTGTAAACTCTTTCCCTTAAAAAATTATCTCAAGTTTCAAATTAAAAGTAACAATATTTTGTGACTGGTGATGGTTTTCTTTGCATGTAAACTGAATGTGAAATAATCCTCAATAATAAATAATTCGCTTAGCCATTTTTAAAATCAGTAGTCATAAAAGTAGTAGTAAAACATAAAAGTATTCATGGTCAGAGTGGCTTGGCCTTGCGTCTCTGTGTAACCCACATCAACAAAGAGAAGACCACAGTCGAAGCTCCCAGAGGGCCCAACACCTGAACGACAGGGAACTTCCCCTAGTGGGAGAAAAGCAAGTTTAAGACACAAACTTTAGTTCATACTATACAAGAAAAATTAGATTTGCAAAATATTTTAAATCATGAAAGAACTAACCTCTCTTAAACACTTGTAGCCATGGTAATCGGCAGCACAACTGCATTGAGACAAACCAGGGCCAAAAGGAGCACACTGGGAGTTTTCTGGACAGACTGTGGCTTTAAAAGATTACAAATCAATATCATTCATCTTTATCTTTAACTGACTGTTGGTAATGTTTGTGTTATCAATACTTACACATTTGAACAGTCTGATTGCACATGCTGTTCTGGCCTTCACATAAACGCTGATCTCCATTTTTCTCAATTTTTTTCCAAGACGTGGCACCCCCAGGACAAAGCAAATGTATTGGTAAGATCCTAGAAAACAAACATACACACAAACAGATTCAAATGCACCCAACAACAGTACAGTACTATGGAGAGTTGACATACAGTCGATCCAACTCAATAAATCCCTGAAAGGTGGTATCACTGATGTTGGCCTTTGGGTTGAGTGAGAGGTCTCTGCAAAACAACATGAATCATTGATTGCTATAAGGTGGATTATTCTCCATTTGCTGCCTTAAAGCCGGGATACGAAACATTTGAAAAAATATAATACATTTTGTTTGTCCCAATAGAAAGAGTAAAAGTAATTTGTGAACACATCAGTCCACAACATATTGTCTGAATAAAACGCACTTATACACTTTTAAGGAAGAGCCATGCAAGTGACTAAAAAGCAAATCTAAAAAAAGGTGTGACAAAGGCCAAAAATACATGCAAGGGAAAACTACAACTAAACTATTTTTGAGAGTGAGAAACAAGTGACATGGGTCTTATTTCAGTGAAATTCTTTGCGGTTAGTTACGTACCCCTGCTTTAACTGAGTAACGTACTGCATTACTATGGTATATACATACATGATTCTTGCAGCAGACGCGTCTTGGATATTTCCAACTTGAGCCAGAGAACAGTTGGAGAGGTCCAATCTGGCCATTATCACAAGATGATGATTAAAAATGCTACCCTATCTTATACAAAGGTCAATTTTAAGGACAAGGAAGGAGGTGTTGTGTATTTATACCCAATAATCAAATTGTGGTCGAATGCGGTGTCATTTTGGAGACAGCAGCGCCCCTCGATCCGACCTGCGGATTTAGAGCAAAACTGCCCCACTGCGCCTTCAGCCCGCACCGTCCCGTAACACAGATCACATACCTGTCAATAAACATCTATTACAACAATGTGTCAAAACAACTGCACTTGTGTCATTGATACATGCAAACATGAAAACAAACCAAAGATACGTAATCTTACCTGCAGCTCACTTGAGTTAGACGCACTGTAAAAACACAATTCTAAAACAAAAACAACAAGCAGCGCAGGGTTCAGCTGACGGGCCCCAGCTTTCATTTTTGTTCTCTGATCATGTGGTCAGCTGGGGCGCACACGTGACAGGAAGCAGTCTCGTCACACTAAATAGTCAACATAAATACATTTATTTTAACGCAGCAAAGTCGTGATGATAAATGAATTTGTCTTCATGACATTTTATGTATTTATTTATTTATTATTTAAAAACGTTGACACGTACGTTACGTCTGCTGTCATTTTGGGTCGTACCAAATTATTTCGATAGTACTACACCCTCGTCTTTCAAAATTACTAAAGATTAAACGCATCATCTGTCTTTAAATGTAGTCTCTGTACATAATCTACTCATCAAGTCATTTATTATGATTAATTGTACGTTTAATAAATATCAGTATACCAAGACGCGCCCCCGTAAATCAAAATCGTTCCGTCCAGAAGAATTGTTGCGATGCCTCTTTACAGCGGAACCACAGACGGATTGCACAATGGACTGGCAGCAGTAATTTGCCTGCATTTGTGCTTTTATTCGTGTCATATTTACCACAAGACCTTATATGTTGTTCAGTACGTGTTTGGTCAAATGTAGGCAGCTCAAACACCACTCGGAACCACAACACGTGCAGCTAGCTCCAATCTTTGCAAAGGTTTTTTTTCCACGGCTGTACGTCGCTGCTGCTGCGGGACTCAGATCACCTCATTCTCAACTTCATCCGGCTCTGGACCCCGCTAATCACCGACCTATTGTGTGGCGGTGTGTATGTGAACACTGTTTCGCTCCAAAAGTGGATTATTCTTATCCAACGCAATCTGGGAATGTTTATCACTTAACACACTGCAACATGGCTGCTCCGTAGACGAGTGTGAGAAAAGTTTATTACACCAACACCGGGGAGATTTGTCGTGAAAAGCTGGCTGGTTAATGACTTATTTGCACAGATTTGGTGACAGCCACGTCCTGCCCCTCTGAGATCCCCCTGATAGTCACTGCAGTGGGAGAAGAGCTGCTGCTGCCTTCTACGGATTGGTGTTTGGAGAAAGTAACATCTGGCACCGGTCTGTTTTGTCCTAAAATGCATTTTTCTATACCCGAAACGGAGGTTTGCACGGGAGAAAATGGATCAACCTATGTGGTGAGTAGTCTAGGCGATGGGTGGGAAAAAAAGGTATTGCCCCAGCTGACCTCCATAATACATATGAGTTGGTGCTGTTTGCTCTTGCCTGACTTTGCTTGAGTAAGTTTGTCATCATAGCAAAGCAGCAAGTTAATATTTAAATAATGTCACCTGCTTTACCTGCTGCTTGTGGGCTGAAGAAGTCAGGTTGAGAAAAGCCAATACTAATCATTTTACCAATATTATAGGTGTTCTGGGCCCGAGTGCAACCATGATAAACATTGATTGAAGCAAGATAGATTCAACAGTGCACATTATCTGAGGGACTGGCCTATGGAGATCCGTTTAGGTGATTTATAATCCTTTCTCTGATTGCGCAAAGACTGGATTGTGATTATAATTAAAATGGGTGAAGGGCATCTTTAAATCAGCACCATCCTTGTGATGTAAAGATGTAAACTCAACTACCCCTCAAAGTATTGGTACTGTGGGCATTTGGTCCCTCACAGTTATGGTCAACATGCTGGGTGTACCTGGGACTCTCCGCTTGTGAATACAGTGATTATGTTGCTTGGAAACATCCTTGGTTCAAGTTTATTTATCTGTCAGACATTGATATGTGCAGTGCATGCTTTCCTCTCATCCTCAACAAGAGCTTTGAAACGGCATGTGATCCAAATGAGCCACACACAGGCTTTGAAGTTCATACTTTCACAGCATTCTTGAACTTTGAGAAATATTTATTGTTCATGGAAAGAAATACACGCTATACAAGCCTCAATACTAGCTTCACATCTTTTGCTTTCTGTGTTTTGAATAAGTTTAGACAACTAAAAATACTTTTTAATATTTATGTTTACTTCCATCAACTTTCAATGGTCTGAGCTGTGTGGAATGTCACCTGTATTGCCCTCTCCAACCTTCCTCTGACCCACCCACAGGAAGTACCCTGCTGATTATAATGCTGAAAGATGGCTTGTGTACCTTGGAACTAAAGCTGCCACTCAATTTGCTGAGTTTGCAGAGGCTTTTTGAATAACGGTGCCTGCAGCTTATTTTAAAGGCACACCGCGGACTTTGTGACCTAAAGAGTTGACACATATGAGTTATTTTATATGAATACTTGGGCCAATATACAGCGCTTGACACTTGCAATGCTCCGAGCGGGGCTGCCCTCTTGAAATACCGCCCATGTAAGTTTCGAGCAGACGGACCGTCTGCCACCAGGTCACGTGACTTGGAAGAAAGACTTGCTTTACGGCTACAGGCGCTGATATACTCATGGAGCTAAGGCTTTTGCTACTCATTTTTCACCTGCTCGACTCCTGGTCATGGCTGAGGCAAGGAAAAATTTTAAACCTTCGGAGGAGGCTAAAAAGAGGAAACGCGAAAGGGATCGTGCTGTAAGCTGCATGTCTGTATGAGCGCTGCTCTTCACCTGGTTCCTGTATGTCATCGACTGCAAAGATGTCATTCCACGCAGCACGAGCTAGACGCAGAACTCCCTCATCCAGGATATAGAAGTCCATGTGTGGTAGATTACTAATGCAGCGGTCTGGAGGCTGACCACAGCAGAGTCTCTCAATATCTGTAGGCATGTCTCTACAGTTTGAACACACACACCAGTGCATGCTGTCTGAATACACACTCAAAAGACACCGGCTGACTGTTGACTTTTGCGACAGTGCTGAGTTGCTTGTGGCCACTAGGGGCGCTAAACGTGAAAGTTGCAGGTCTAGCGCCCCTAGTGGCCAAGAGTTACACGGTGTGCCTTTAAATATAGTTCTGTTTTCACAGACACATTGTTTCCTGATACAAGCACCTTATATGGTAGTAGTAATCTTTATTTATATACCGCCTTTTCACTGCACATCGGAGTCTCAAAGCGGTTTACAATTGTTATGTTTTTTTTTTTTTTGGGAGTGGGGGTGCCAGTACAGGAGGCACATGCTATACCTATTGTACATATTTTTAGTGGTAGGGGAAACCGGAGCACCCGGAGGAAACCTACGCAGACACGGGGAGAACATGCAAACTCCACTCAGAAAGGCCCTGGTCCAACCGGGATTTGAACCCAGGACCTTCTTGCTGAGAGGCGAGAGTGCTATCCGCTGAGTGGATAGCACTCAGCACACCCCATGGTGTGGGTCAAATTATCAGTTTGACCAACATTGGTGGAGAGTGTGTGGCTTTTTAGTTGGTTGTGAAGTGTGGGTGCATACAAAAACATGGGTTAGGGTTAGGGGTTATGGATAAATGTTTGTAAAAAGAAAAATCTTTTCAAATGAGGTTTCTTGGAATTTTCCCCACTGTCTGAATAAAGGAATATCTTATCTTTACATAAATTCTTCTCTCTAAAAGCTCTTGTGTTTTATCAAGCTGCACAAAGTCATTCTTCCTTCCTGTGTAAATTCTGTGTACTCCTTTACTTATGTTGCTATCCACCCAAATAATCTGATTGGCATTTTTGTAAATACTTACAATTAGTGTAGATAAGAATGACTTTGCGTTCAGGAAATGCATGTTTTTGTAGAATTAGACAATAACTTGACATTCAGGAACAAAAATAGGAACACGAAGTGCTGACTCATTACTTGTACTGAACATCCAATATGTCCACCACAACTTGGGCTGTAGATCAAAATCACAATGTCCATGGCCACAATTAGCAACTCACAAAGATTTCACTATAACTCAAATTTGGGCAAATTTCTTTTGATTTGAGCCTATTTGTTGTTGCAAGTATCTTCCGTCTTGTCAGGTAGAAACATTTTCCAATTTCAAATGGGATGTTTCATCTATTTCATTATTGCATATAAATTGTCTAAGTGTGTTGCACAACTCCGGTCTGAATATAAGAATTTGAGAAAGGATCAAAACTAGATCTAAGCATGTATACATTGTGTAGTGCCATCTTTTATAGTTCTATGAGGAAAAACAAGTTTGTACTATAGAATACTGTTACTGCTGTTGTACTGTTAGAGATGGTCCTATATTATACTAAACTATAGGTTTATAGATTAGAACTCCATAAACATCTCCTGAAATATGTGAGAATTGTGTCTAGTACTAGGAAATCACTTTGTACGCTTTTTTCAATTACATATTTTCACTCTGAACAATATTAGACTATTTAAAGAGGATATTAGAAATTGCATCGCAATCACAATGTTGGTCAGAAATATTTTGCCAAAATTGTGCAGCCCGAACAACAACATGTGATTAAAAGGGATTAACAGGGTAAAAAACCTTTACATTAGGAGTGAGCAATGGGATATTGTTTGGCAAAACAAAAAAAGGCCCCAAGCTATTTTTCTTCTTGATCTACTCCTATCTATTTGTATCTGTAATGGCTTAATACAGATTATTAGTTGAATAATTATATTTCATTAATGTGTTAGTAATATCTCTGTATTTCCAGGCTTATAACATCCATGTGAACGGGGTGCTGCATTGCAGGGTTCGGTATAGCCAGCTCCTCAGCCTCCATGAACAGGTAAACAATCAACACAGACATGACATGAAAGCCCCTTTGTTCTTCTGGTGTTCATCTGAACGCAGCTTAAATGTCACGGTCACCCTTCAACACAACAATCTGTCACTCCTGTCCTTTGTATTGCATGTTGTCAACAGATAGGAGGTTATATTTGGGAAAGAGGATCCCATTTTTACATTTTAGTACAATTCATTCAGCTGTCCATAAAACATTTAAAACAATGTTTTCTAATTCCATCACTGTAAGTGGGAATCATTAAACCTGCACACTAATTGTCCAATTTTTTTAGTTATGACTGATGCCTTCAAACTCACTGGCTTCACTCAGTCCAATGACTGTTGTTGCTTGGCAACAGTGTGTAGATGTGACTTTGATGAGAGTGTGACCTCAATCAGCCACACTCCGCTAACACTCTTGAGTCAATGGTGTTTTTGCATCTTCATCATTGGGGTCATATTGTCTGTGTTATTCGTGATATTAGATGGAAACACATGAGTCAAAACCCTAGCAGACTTGGAATGGCTGTATTCCCAGACCTCCAGATGTGTCTGTCTGAGCGCTTTGAACGGAAACTCCAGCAAACTCTTTGAAAGAGCTTAAAATAAACCCATGATTCATTGTCGACTGCATGAATGTACCTATCTGCTTTACGTCAATTATGTGCGGCTCGTTGGTTTACATTCATTTAAATGATAGCCGGCTGTGGCTTTGAAGCATCTGTTTTGCATTGTAGATAAAGAAAGAGTATGGCAGCACTGTAGTGCCGACCTTCCCTCCGAAGAAGATCTTCACACTGACCCCTGCTGAGGTTGAGCAGAGGCGAGAGCAGCTCGAGAAATACATGCAGGCTGGTGAGTAACTCAAGTGCATGAGGAGCCTTTGTAGAGCAAATACACGTGTACCACTTGTGAACATGTATTCACCAAGTACTTGTTATTGGACACATTTACAATAAATATCATCAACTGTCTTCACTGTAAAACAGGGCTAATTTTTGAGTAGAATAATTTCAGATAATGTTTTGCAAGTGTATTATTCACCCTAGACACCAATTATTTTTATATAGGAGAAGCAAAATGCCTAAAACAGTCTAGAAATGTGAATCAAAACAAACAATTTGTCTCTAAAACTTTGCTTAAAAGCGCCCAAAATATACCCAATATTGCAGTACCTCTTATGTAATTACAGAGGCTTTATAAACATGTTATTTCCTTATTGTCACTTATTGTTATTTATAATTTGGCCCCATCCTGTATTCATGTCTTTGTTGCAAGTGGCCCATACTTGACAAACCGTTTAGAGTTGAAGTTCTCGACATGTGAAAGTGGCAGCAGAGCTCACAGTTTGTTTTAATCCTGTGGAGCTGCAGCAGTTAGAGCAGAACAAGGCGCTGTTGTTCCTGTGTGTATTTGCTCATAGTGCATACGCGGGCAGGCTGTTCTTGGCCACAAGTCCACTCTGTTACATCATGGCTTTTTACATGGTTATGGAAAATAAACTACCTCACACACACACACAAGTGGCTTAAAGGCTGGTCTTTGAAGAGTTTAACTTTGTTTTAGGAAGGTCAAACACTTTAGTGACCTCTGCATCAGGAAGTTCACTGTTTTTCACCAAAGAGAAGAGTTCTTGTGAATGCAAAATCAAATATTAGTCTGTACAAGTAGTTTTTAAGAATTGATCCCTTTGCTATATGAAACAATCTACATCAAACCAGACGGTGACAGCCTTGTTTTTATATTTGCCGCTCTGACCATCAATCTGAGTTGTATTGTGTGTATATATATCTATATATGTAAGTTGTGTAATTTTGAATGTGATCAATATTATATTTTTTCTTTTTACATTTGTTGACAGTGCGGCAGGACCCGTTGCTTGGAACTAGTGAATTGTTCAACAGCTTCTTAAGAAAAGCCCAACAGGTCTGTATCATCTGAAGTATTCTGGCTTTAACAGATACTTGTTTATGTGGTGAAGAGGTGGCTGCTGTCGTCGGCACTGTAGCCCACACTGCTATTGTGCATGTGTCACCAGTTGGATGACAGTTTGTGATGATTTCAACTCCAACATGACACACAAATCCAACAGACTGAACTACAGAATCTGTCTTTCCAAATTCTACTTATCCACTTCCCTATCTGGCCTGATAAATGTATGAACTCAAGACATATTGAATCCAGTGGTCTATTCTTCAATTCATTGTCAGTGCAGTTGCCACACGTTGTATTTTACTGCTGTCTCATTAGTTATTCAGCAGACTGCAGCATGTCCACCCTGATGATTGGCTTATGACTTATTCAGAGCAGATAGTGTGCGTGCGTGCGTGCACGTTCATAACTCAAACTGTGACCAGAGACTCTAAGAGGCCCCGGTTGCAAATCCAATGACCTTCAAGGCCAGGTCTCTGCGTCACCCACTTCAGCCTCACCCCCCCCACCCTTTCCTCCTGTGTGTCTTGTACGAACAGCGGGCACGGAATAAGAAATGACTTGCCACCCACTGCTATTTCATCTGCACCTCGAGTGGTTACAAGGAGCTTGCAGCCCCCCGCCTGAGGACAGACAGGATCAGAGACATTTAGCACATTAGCTCTGGGGAACAGAGCTAATGTGCTAAAGCCTGGAGTTAGATAATAAAACATTGATCATTTTATCGAATCGGCTCTGAAACTGTAATTTATTATAATTATTCATGAATTTGGCCGCATGCTTTGTTCTTCTGAGCATATTACATTTTCTTAGCCCTGATTGAAATACTACAGTTCTTTTTCCTGAATTAAAAAGTAGTTTTTACTTTCAAAGGTTTTTTGAAACCTTTGAAAGTATGCAAAAAAAAAAAGCAAAATAAACATATATTGTTTTAGTGGTTAGAAGTTTTGTTAGAAGAATGATTTTTTTTTGGACAAATAGTAGTTTTAATGATCTTGATTTAAATTATTACTCAAAGAAGTGTGAATATTGTTTTTCCATAAGTGAACAACCCCAAAGGTTTACAGGATAAATGTGGATTATTATAGATAACGGAACAGTCACTTGGAACAGAAATGTAGTGTGTGTTGTTGGAAAGTTACATGGTGTAATCCCACATTGTTCCATGGTGTAGAGAAGTTTGTTCTCTCTTATCTCGTGTTCAAGTATTCTACGTTCTAAAGATAACGTGTGCTCTCACAGGAGACGCAGCAGATTCCCACAGAAGAAGCAGCTCTCGACATCTGCCTCTCCAACGGCCAGAGGGTCACCGTCAACATCTTGACGTCTGATCAGACCGAGGACGTGCTGGATGTAAGCACTCGTGCTTCTCTGTGTATTCACGACTAAACCTGTAAACTAGAAAAAAGCACAAGGGGCAAATCCATGTGTGAATGCAGGTCTAGAAATGTTCCATGTTACAGAAATTTACTTTTTACACACATAAGACTATTCTAGGGCTGCACCATTTCAAATAATTAACTATTTGCAATTTTTCAGATAAACGTTGCCATTCCGATTTGGAACATGAAGCTAAAATAATGTTAAACAAAGTGCACTAGGGGAATTCAAAAGAGGGGAAAAAATATGTGGGTATATACTCTACCGTTCAAAAGTTTGGGGTCACCCAAGTGTTTTCCATGAAAAGTCACACTTATTCACCACCATACGTTGTGAAATGAATAGAAAATAGAGTCAAGACATTGACAAGGTTAGAAATAATGATTTGTATTTGAAATAAGATTTGTTTTACATCCAACTTTGCTTTTGTCAAAGAAGTCTCCATTTGCAGCAATTACAACATATAACCAGATATTTGCAGCTAGAATAGTCATTTACCACATAAGCTATGTATAGTGTATTTCTTTACAGTTAAGACTAGTTTAAAGTTATCTACAGTGCTTTTCCTTCAAAAATAAGGACATTTCAATGTGACCCCAAACTTTTGAACGGTAGTGTATATATATATATATATATATATATATATATATATATATAATTATTTCTTTAAGAAAAAAGAAAAAAATAATATTTATTTGTAAATGTTTTCTGTGCTTAAAACTAAGGAAGACTGTAAATGTAATTTTCACTGTGTCGTGACCCTAAGACTGTTCAGAGCTCTTGTCAGATTTGTTTCATATGTAAAAAGATTATATGCTGTAATTATGTATTCTTAATATTGCAGTGTTTGCGAGTTGCTATTTAGTCACCAAAATTAAATTTCTTATATTCTTTCATATTTTCAAACAAGTTTTTGTCTTTTTCTAGGCTGTCGCAACAAAGCTCGACCTCCCAGACGACCTAGTGGGATACTTCAGCTTGTTTCTTGTGCGTGAAAATGTAGATGGAGGCTTGACATGTAAGTTTTTTGTGAGTAATGAAAACAACTTGTCGCTTGTTGCTTTATCTTCAGCGCTCTTTGAGCCCTGACGATGGGAAAATTGATCTATTTTACTGTATCAGAACTAGTGTGGAAGCAGTTGTGATACTGGATTTGGTTTTGAAATTAATTTAGTATGGTATTAATTACATGGTGGTTGTGAAGATACAGTTTGGTGACAATAATAAGTACCAGAGGACGACATTGACAATGCACCAACAACAATAATGTGCATCATCACTGGCCTCCAAACCTCCTGCCTTATTTCTTACTATCAAATTCGAAAGTGTCATATTCTAATGTCAAGACCACACAGCGGTTTTATTTTTTAAATTAGCACCACTTCTAATGACAGAAAAATACCGTGACAAATAGTTGTAATTGACAGGCGGCCTAATTTTGAGACGTGGTGCATCGGTTTTAACGCAGGATGATGGTTTCTGGATTGCCTTAAATCAGGCATGTCAAAGTCAAATACATCAGAGGGCCAAAAAAACAAATTTGCTGGGAGCCGAGGGCCGGACTGGTTCAATGTTTATTAACTCATTGCCTGCCAGCCTATTTCAGAACAGGTTCTCCCATATTTCCAGCAGTTTCCGATGATTTTTATTGATTTTTCAAGACCCACAGAATATTGTGTACTATGACTATCTGAAATCTGAAACCAGATTCTGAAAGAATAGACTGTCTACTTTCATCAGCAAAAATAATTTTGTTTCTAGCTTGTAATCCCCAGTTGAGTAGAGGGAAGTTTTACTGAAATCACCAAAAAGTTGAGAAAAAAGAGGCACAACAAGTGCATCTAGCTGTTTTCAAACCATTCAGAGAGCGCTGCTGCCACCTGCTGGCTCGATTCAATATGCTCTCAAGCTTATCCCCAAACATATTAGATATAATAGACATCTGGGAACATGAAAATAGCGGAAAACGCAATTGACGTCAATGGCAGGCAACGGGCCATGTAAAATTCACTCGCGGGCCGGATTTGGCCCGCGGGCCTTGACTTTGACACATGTGCCTTAAATGATGCAGTGACTTGTGGAGAGGTGCTGGAGTGTAGCTGAGCCTCCCCGTCTTATCTCAGGCTTCCCACAGTTTCTCCAGGGCGCCTTCTCAAAACATTTAGAACAATTCCATAGCTTGTAACGTTCCCCCATGCGGCTTTCGGCCCGCGTATCAAATGTTTGGCTATCTCTGTGCTTATGTTGTTGCCGTTTATACACATGTTTTTGCACTCTCGCTGAAACTCTCTTCCTGTGTCTCTCTCTCCCCAGTTGTACGGAAACTGCAGGAGTTTGAACTGCCTTATGTTTCCATTTCCAGTCTACAGAACTCCGAATTCCACATACTACTACGAAAAAGGTATAGTGTATTCCCTGATGTTCAAAGTCATTCACATTTTGGGTGTTTAAGACAAGAAGATCTGGAAAAGCTTGAAAAAATAAACTGTTTATTGTTAAGGAGGAAAAATATCTAATCTGCAATGACCTGTGAGTCAAGCTCTGCGTCTTTGGACTGTGGCGGTTTCTCTTGGTTGTAATTATGGCTCAAACTAAAAGTACTAGTGGTGTAATGAGAAAATATGACATACACTGTTCTGATTATTATGGGTGCCCTGCTCACCCATAAAGGCGATGCCAGAAACTTTAAAGTATTGGAGCACTGTACTATTATCTACAGTGATGTTAGTACTTTTTAACAACCTTGCATATAAAATGGACTGTCCCCTTGGCAGAACTATCAGTTAGATTTGCTGGAAGGAAATACTTAATGAGGAAGGGCGTCAAGGATGCAAATCAATTTCGACCAATCGGGTGCATGACGAGGACTAACCAGTGCTTGTTTTTAAATGTTTTTACTCCCTCTTGAAATGAGTGTTTCAAATATGTGCCTTCAGTTTTTATTAAATGAAGTTCCATGGTTCATAAGCCATAAAGGGGCGTTAACTGTGATTCTTTTTCTGTCTAAGTTTGTTTATTATTGAGACTTTGGTTTCATGAGCAAATGTCTCCGCCAAGTTCCGTGTTTTGTTTTGTAATCTCTAATCCCTTGTTTTTTATTTACAAAGTCGCCAAATAGAACAAATGGTTATCTGTCTTGGAATGCAAAGTTCTTATCAGGCTTTCTTTTAATAAGTTGCTCTAGAGTTTGACAGATGGAATCCAATGCCCTTTTTCTGTGATTATTGATAGTGCCGTCGATTTAAAACCTCTTCAATGTCTCGGTCTGCTAATCGTTTCCAAACACTCTTCAGTTTCAAATTCTGTTCATTTTTCCAAACATATTCCAGCCCCCTGCTGACTGAGCTCCGCTGAATGTTTATTTTCCTTTTGCCTGGAGGAAAGTGTAAGTCCTCCTGACCTAGTTTTTCAGCGTAGAGTGAAATGAACCTAAAAAACCGATGAACTGCTAAAACACAGCCCCCCTCCAGAGAACAAGATCCAGGGGAGGACCGGCTTGTTTGTTTTGGAAAAAAAGCATGTTGCAATTTAGTAAAACACAGACTGCAGCAGAGCGAGTGTCAACATTTTCTACTTTTTATTTTGTATTTTTTTTTACACCTACACATTATCCCAGAAAAAAACATTTTATGGTGTGTTGGGTTTGTAGGGTTTAATTGGGGATATAATGAAACTTTTCGACTAGAATAAGCTTTTCCTTTTCTTCTCAGCTGCTTTGAATTACTGATGTGGGCAAGTGGTCTGCTTTACATCAGTGTGAAAATTTTTTTTTTTTTGTATCTTCAAAACACAGCTCACTGGGACTTCTAGCAAAAACGTGTTAAATGCCATGCCTCTGTTACTCCTCACCTCATAAATAGACATTTCCGATGTGTTGTCTAAAGTGAGATTTCACATGGCACAAGAGAAGGTTAAGGACAGATAAGAATGGACATTGATACATTGATTGTTATTGGCTCCAGCGTTGGCACAGTTTACGTTTCTTTAAAAGTCTTAAATTGAAAAGTTTGAATAGTAGTTATGAAAGTTTATACCAATTTAAAACCAACATAATTTGTCTTTAAAGATGTTTGTTATACATGTATTATAAAGCAGCTTCAGCCCAATCTCTTGCTCTTTATCATTTATTGTTTTCATTTTTAGGCACATTTTTGTCCTTTGTACGTTATATTGTGTGACATGGAGTATATAGACCCCAGGAAGAATAGCCTCTGTTTCTTTCAGGAGCTCATGGGGATCTGAATAAAAACAAAAGAAACAGACAAACTTCACCATATATTTGATGTGTTAATGTACTACTTTTTGATGCCCTTCAAAAATTATGTATTTTTTTTCTTTTGACTTTTCCAGCCAAGCAGAAAAGGGATATTGGCTTTGATCTTTTTGACACAATGTGCGACAAAGTGTACATGCGACGTAGCAAGAGAGTAGAATATACTTCTTTTTTCTTTTAAATAGGGCTGGCAAGAAAATTTATGAAAAAGTAGAACATGTAAAAGTAACATTTGCTGAAGTATAAATGGTTCCTAAGTACTTAAGCTTCCAATCAAATCAAAGTAGCAATTTTTGTGGTCACAATTAGCAACATTCAAAAACTAGACTTATTTAAGTTATTTGAAACAAAAAACAGCATCAATTAAAAAAAATAACGGGCAATGTTTTTTTGAAGCGTTTTTGTATTTCTACTTGCATCAAAATAATTGTACTGTCGAGCTCTATAAAAAAAAAAAAAAAAAAAATCTGAAATGTGTTAGAATTGTGTGTGAGGCAATGGAACACATGTCCATTGCCTCACACACAAGGTAGTTAGCAGACAACTACACACTCTCACGCCAATGGTATTCCTCTTGTTACTTACTACTATCCTGTTTGTAATTCCTGACTTTCAAAAACCACCTTTTGATCACAATGTTGCTTTAAATATCGGTTGAACATCACGCAGCTTGACTACAAACAATAAAATGGCACATAATATAATAACCAAAGCACTTGAACCCTGAGCTGCATCTATACCTTATACTCCTGTACACAACTGCTGTACTGTCTCTACTTTGATATTTATGTATTCAGCCCTCTCCATCGCTGCGCTCTGACTGTCACGTCACATTTTCTGCTCTCTGAAGCAACCCTCCGTCTCTGAGGACAAATATCCCTCCGCCTTTTCTCTCCCCAAGATACACACTCTAATCTGATTATCCAAACGGTAATCTAGTTTGCAGCTGCGGTTTCTGAATAATAATACTGATTCCATTGTTCATGTAATAGATGTGGCTTTTTCAAAGACTTTTTTTCTTCTTCTCTCTTTCCTTGTGTAGCTACTGGGACATGGCGTATGACTGTGATGTGATGGACAACAGAATTGGCTTAAATATGCTCTATGCTCAGGTAACGTCTGCAGATAATGTAAGAGATGTGTATATTTTATAGAATAAACAGGTGCAACTCTGAAATGTTAAATAGTGTTAAAGTATTTTATTTTTTTTACAATGTGAAACTGATATAAGACAGTTTATGGACTTACTGTTTTTTAATTCCTTCCAGGTTCAGTAGCTATTAGACATAAGTCCTGACATGGAAATTAACAGTTCATTTTTAGTCATGTGGGGCCTTTATGTTGAAAAAATTACTCTTTTTTTTTTTTAAACATTTAGCTGATGCCGTTTGTATACTAGTGCGCTTAATAGAACAGCAAGTACTGCATTTACATGAAATGCAGAGTAAAATAACCTGATTAAATATAAAATATAGCTTAAAAAACCTGATCAAAACTACAAAAAAAAATGCATAGTATAATATTATTGAAGTTTGCATGATTAGAAAACACATATTTTCTCTTGTGTTGATGGGACAATGTTATATTAGTGTGGTTTTTTTTGTATGTTTTTTTTAATGCGTTTGCCTTGAATGACCGCTGCTTTCTCCCAGAGCAAAGTCAGTTTGACTTTGAGGGCCTCCGATCTGTTTTCAGTGATCCTATTAATAGCGGATTGTCTTTGCAGCAAGATCAGCAATCTGATGCATTACGCGGTTTTGGAGAGCATAGTTGAATAAAATCACTTTGAAGAGCCCTCGGTGCACGTTTTCTTTTCCTCTAACATAGATTAAAAGGATCAAGAGCAGGTCGTGTTTTGTTTGTTCACGTGCTCTCGTTTGTGCTTCAGACTGTGGCTGACATTGAACGAGGCTGGATTCTCGTCAACAAGGATCAGCACAGGCAGCTCAAGTCCCTGCAGGAGAAAGGCTCCAAGAAAGAGGTACACTTAAGTTTGGATAGAAAGGAATTATGGACAGTAAATACATGCAGGACTAGTCAGGATTATTGACTTGTATTTCTGTTGTACATTGCGGTTGTTTTAAATGCATTTTTCACTAAATAAAACTTGAAAGGCCTGAAGGGAACTACTAGTCCACTGGCGTCCAACTCATTTTTAATGGCCACCAAATCTGTTTAAAAAAAATACATATATTTTGATTATTATTAAATAGTATAATTGCGGGTTAGTTTGTCTGTCGGGCGGTACAGTAGCTGAGTCGTCAGCACTTTCGCTTCTCAGCAAGAAGGTCCTGGGTTCGATCCTACCTCCAGGCGGGGCCTATCTGAGTGGAGTTTGCATGTTCTCTCTAATCCTCATGTTAATTAAAATAAATCCTTTTGTCAAAATATCTACACATGCACAATATGCACTTCGAGCACTTCATTGTTATTTTTTGTGGAATACTATGCAAGCTACTGTGATAACGCAATTTCCCTTATGGATCACTAAAGTCTGGCCAAGTCTAAAACAACAACCCCTCACCCAAATGAGTTTGACACCCCAGTTCTAATTATTGAATAGAAAATTCTTTAATAGAAAAAAAAACATATATATTTTTTTAAAACTAATTTCTTGTTTAAAATTTACAATATTGAATCCATGGCAAATCAGCGAGACTAGATTGTTGGAACAATACTTATATCCTACAACCAATACACAATGCATTACGAAAATAAAAATCCTCTTGTGAAACGGTTCACTCTTGTTCTTTCCTGTTCTAGTTCATTCATCTGGGTCAGACGCTTAAGTATTATGGCTACATCAAGTTCGACCCCTGCATAACAGACTTCCCAGAGAAGGGTTGCCAGGTCATCGTCAGCGCTGGCAACAACGAGCTCAACTTCCACGTGAAGCTGCCCAACGATCAGATGAAGGAAGGCAGCTTCAAAGTAACGCGCATGAGGTGCTGGAGAGTCACATCGTCTGTGAGTAAAACAGTTGTCCCTTTTTAGAAGAGTCATATTTATTGCACCACGGAGCAAAGTCGACATATTTTGGCTCCTGCGCTTTGGTAAAATCGCTGACTGCTGCGTGATCCGTCTTCCACGTTCAATTACCCAAACCACCCCAGGAACGCGGCGCATTGATCCACACAACAGCAGCCGTCCCCGTTAGACTGTTAATGACTTTTCGGATAGCGGCGTGCGTGCTGTTGCTAGCTTTTATATAGATTTGTGCTAGAAAGGAAAGAAGGGGAATAGTGACAGTCACAAAGCCAAAATGGTGCTCTATCTGCTTTAAATAATATACACCCTGTTTGTAATGTAATCTACCTTGGATTTATGTGGGTGTTTACCATTCGGAATATCACATTTGGTTTGATTCATGTTGCATGTGTGATTCATGATCAGGTAATGACCGTGTTGTCTTAGTTACTCATAAAAGAAACTGGTAGATTGCGATCGACGTATTGAGGACCCCTGCTCTAGACCCTGTGTGCTCTTATTATTTTTAGACATCACTATACTATGTGAAGTCTTTTGAGCAGGACGTCTTTTTACCATTAAACAGAAGATTTGAATGATTTCCCCTTTTCCTTTCCCTTATGATCTCCAGTTTTAGTCAAACCAAAGCTGGCAGACAACCACACACACTCACGCCAATGCTATTCATCTGGTGTTACTTACTACTACTTACTTAATACAATAGGTTTCTCTCAGATTTGGAAAAAAACAACAATACTGATTAGATATAAATAATAGAAAAAATATGTATATTTATCCATGTATTGTCCTAAAATAACAACGCTTATTCTTCTGTAAAAATCTCTGCTCATGTGTGGTTGGAGAGAGCGTCTGAAGTTAATTCCTCAGCCACATTCTCTGGGGTATAAGTCATTTTAACGGGCTTCCTCCTCTCCTACAAACTATTCAAAACATGTTGCTCAATCTCAAATCTCCCCTTTTTATTGGCACATTTTTTTCACAATCCTTTGTTTTTCTTGTAAATCTTGTTTGTTATTGTCTAACTTGAATTGGTAGAAGTCATAGATAATAGAACAAGACATAGATAATAGAATTTACAAATGTTATGAGTAACTACTGTTATTTCAGCAAGTCCCAGTCTCCAATGGCACAAGCAATCCTTGCAGCTCCAACAAGTGTGATGTCAAACTGGAGCTGGCCTTTGAGTATCTAATGAGCAAAGATCGCCTTCAGTGGGTCACAATCACCAGCCAGCAGGTTTGAATAACACATTATTTACTCAAGGAGCCTTTTTCAGTTGCACATAGTCAAAAATTGTGTGTTTTAGGCCATCATGATGAGCATTTGTCTCCAGTCTATGGTGGATGAACTGATGGTGAAGAAGTCGGGTGGCAGCATCAAAAAGGTTTTTAATCGTTACTTTATAGATTCCATTTTGAAAAACATTATATCCTTCTTATAAACCTTTTATATTTGTTTGTTTTCAGATGTTGAAAAAGCGTCACAACGGTTCCTACCACAGGTCAGACAGTCAACAAGCGGTGAAATCACCCCCTCTACTGGTACGACATGGCATAACGTATTCTAGGTTAATGTTTACCAAGTTTAAGCTCTACCATCATCTATTTGTACATTTCAGGACGCACAGGAACCCAACCGCGAGCAAATAGTTAAACTCTCTGTAAGTATAGCCTCTTTTTTTTTTGATTAGACTAAGGAAATAATTATCCTTTTTCAGACAGAGGTTTATACGTGATTATACGTGTGTGTGCAGCCCTCTTTCAAAACAAACTATATAGATAATAAAACGTTAAATACATGAGTGGCAGTAGTTGTTATAGTGTGTGTCCTTTCGATCTGAAGGTTGGTGCTTGGAATCCCATAAAATGCCAGTGTGTGTGTGTGAATGGGTGAAGGGTTCTGAGATGGGCAGCGCTTTGAGGTCTGGAAAAATAGAATTTGCGACTTATAAATGTGACTATTTACCATTTATATTTGCACACTGTTTGTTCTTCGGGCGCCAGAGTTTTTCAGCAATTTGATGTGGATCAGACAAAAGATGGAGCTCAAACTTTTTAAGAGATAGATGACTGCTAAAATCAATAACGGGAATAAATATCAAAAGAAAAATATGTAAGAAAAATGCAAGGAAGCGAGTTTGGTGTCCTGGATTCTGCTCCTTGACCAAATATTTATTTATTTATTTATTTAAATTGTGGACATGACAATACATCACATGTTACAATTACATTTCAAATAATTGTCATCTTGTCACATAAATGAAAATGAAAAATAAATCTTCTATTGCCTGCCCCTTTTTGTTCAAACATTTAAAAATTAAATGAAAAATAAGATGGACTTCAGCACTCCTCCTTCAAACTGTAATTTACTTGTTTTCAAAATTAATTGTTTTTTATTATATAATTATTTTTTCTCTTATTTTTCTAATCCTTCATTTCATACAAGTTCACTGTTGTTGCTTTGATTTTTTTCTTTAGCATGTGGATGTTTGCAGAACTTTTTAGGACATATTCGAGTTGATTCCATAATTTTACCCCGACCGCTGATATTCCCATGTGTTTCTGGGTGGTTATTTATTGCCTGAATAAAGCTAAAAGTTATTCTATCTCACTATGATCAAACTAATGTAATGTCTCCCTGTGTTCTCATGAAACTCAGACCAAGCTTAGTTCGGTGTCGCTCCGAGGAATCAGCGCCTCCAACTCGTCCAACGACCTCAGCGCCAACGACGTCCACGGGAACTACGCTTTCGAGGGAATCGGAGACGACGACTTGTAACTCCCACCGGGGGCCCCCTGGCTTTTCCCATCCCACCCCGTCACCCAGCGGACGTCCACGCGCTGAACTGAGCCGGGAGCCACACAAGTGTTTCAAAATTCCGCCAGATTGTAGCCTCTTCATGGAGATGGGTCGCTGCCTTAAGTTCTCACGTCATCTCAGCTCCGCCCCTTTGCCTTCTGAACATCCAGTCGAACACTAGCACAGCGGTTTTTGAAACGAAGCTTATGGCACAAAGCTGCAGGAAAAACACCCTTTCGTTAGCGACTTCTGTAAAGCAGCAGAGAGAAGTCTTGTCTTCTAGCTTTCGAGTGCACGTTTCTAAGCAGAGCCATATATTTAGTTAGACCCAGCACTAGTGATAAACAGCAGAACAAAAGAAAAAGAGAGATAGTGTGTGTGTGTGCGTTAGATGAGATAATTCAGTTAAACCAAACTGCTATTTTTAATTTGTTTTCTTATCAACCTCAAGTGTCTGGACGTCTGCAGTCTAGCTTTAGCTGGTGGAGACTGCGTTCAGACTTGGCCTTAACTTGATTGTTTTTCATCACACATCACTCCCGCTTCTTTAGGCCTCGCAGATCTCTATGGCGGGGGATTTGCCGGGCTGCTTGCACTTGCTTACTCTGACATTTGCACAGTATTACAGGTGGAGGTGAATGTTTCCATTGTGTGGAGATTTAAAGGGGCTCTGGGAAGTTTTGATTTAAAAAAAAAAAAAAAAAAGCATTTTTAAGGTTTCTCATGAATGCCAAATTATAGTTTACTAAAGCATTTTGCACAAAATAACAATAAAAAGACAATGTCACTTTTTATAGTATGTACTTGCAATTAAGTATTCTGAACATTTACTAATATCATAATTACCATAGCCTATTATTGTAATCAAATGTAATCTAAGTTGTATAGAACAAATGTTTTAATGGACTAGCATTTACTGTTTACAAATATTTTGGGGACTTTTTAATTGAATATTTGTGTTTACATGTGATTTGTTTTTGTCTCCGGGCCTCTGTTCAATATTCATTGTGCCAATCATCTCAGAGGATTTACAGTGAGTTTAGGTGCTTTGAGGTGGTTCAGTGGAATTGCTGGAATGAACACATTTTATGAGAGCACATAACATGTTCATGATTATAATCATTCCATTTATTTTTAGCTTTATAAGTTCTGTTGCCTTTAGCCATTAATCAATGCCAGCAAATCTCTGATCACCAGAAATGTTAAAATATCTATTGTCCTCATTGTTGCTATGAATGTCTGATCTTTTTTTTTTTTTTTTTTTAAATGTCTCAACATCTTGAGCGACTGTGTATGGTGTTGATTTACATTGTGTACTCTATCACCAGCATCACTAAAGATTGTTGCCAATGCCTTTCTGGACTTGTCATCAAGCGAAAATAAAATTGAAATCAAAGTTTATTTGGTAACATTTTGTCAGAGCTGTAGTGGGATAGATAACAGAAACACGACACCCTCAAATAGTTTTTATTTGACATCCATTATATTGTGAAATTTTCATTTAAGGCATGAATGAATGCTTGAAAAAACTAAAGGTTCATGTGATATGTTGGTACTTTCACACCTCTTGCATACAATTATCTTTTCCCAAATAAAATTGTAATTTCCGTTATCTTCACATGAAAATGTTGCACATTCAAAAACAAATTGGCTAAAATACTAAACATTTAAAGTCAAAGCCACACAACATGCATTTTCTGTATTCTTTCAAGTACAATTCTCTAAACTGGTTCCTTTGCCAGAAAAATGATACATTCGATAAAACCATGTTTTAGAATATGTGGGCAGTTCGACCAGATGAGCAGTTTGATGTGCTTTTACATTGTGCCTACATGGTGCTGCTACTTCCTCAAAGGTCATCCTGAGTACTGTGTGTGTCACAGCAGGAACTAAGTCATCCCCCTCAATGCACACGAACAGTATGAAACGCCCTTCTATTTTCTTAGTAGCACACTACACATGAGGTATTACAAACTGACAGTGCTGCTGTAAACATGCACAACAAATGCCACAAAATAAAAAGACAATCTTTACATCAAATCAAATAAAACCGTAAATTCTCTTTTGGCACATGGACATTGTTGTTGGATACAATATAATTAAGTTCAGCAAAGTTGGGACCTACTCTGTTCTAAGCCACTATTTTTTAACATTGTGGCATGTGGTGTAAAACATGTTGCAGTAAATTACAGAAACCCAAGATTTAAGAATATCAGCCCCTGAAAATGGCAGAACCACATTTAAGATGAGCACACATGTGCACTAAACACAGTCAACTGCAGCTTGTAGTTTTCTTATGCAATCTCCATTTTGTAGCAGGAGTGTAGAGTCTGGCCCTCCCTGGACACATACTGCGTATTGGCCGCGAGATTCTTCCTGTGAGCTCCCACATCGTCCTGTGTCCCCTCCCTGGCCTCATGATCACTGGTGGGGCCTTTGACCCAGCCTTCAGTGGCCAGGCCGTGCTTCTTCTGGTGGCGTTTGTAGTTGTCCCAGTGGCCTGTGGTGTAGCCGCACTCTTCACACTTGTAGGGCTTCTCCCCAGTGTGCCGCAGCATGTGTCTCTTTAGGTTCATGCTCTGGTTACAGGTGTAGTTGCACACAGTGCACTGGAAAGGCTTGGCGCCTGAGTGGACTCGCTGGTGCCGCTTCAGGTTCGCCAGGTTCCCGCAGGCGTAGTTGCACAAATGGCACTTGAATGGCTTCTCACCCGTGTGCACGCGGTGGTGTCGTTTTAAGTTGTCGAAGTGCGCTGAGGCGTAGTCGCACTGAGGACACTTGTAGGGCTTCTCTCCACTGTGAGTCTTCATGTGGCGCGCCAAATGGTTGGGGTAGTGAGTGAGAAAAGGACAAGCTGAGCATGTGTACACTTTGTCACTGCGCTCTCCTGGACTGTTGGGAGACCCAGAGTCTTTTGTCAGCATATCCAGGGTGCATTTGGGGCATATCTGAGCAGAAGAGCCATCCTCATCCTCCAAAATCACACCACAGAGTCGGCAGGTGAAGGGGAAGAGGGTGGAGGGCAGACTCCTCCCTGTGTCTGTAACTCTGCTCTCTGAGCAATTATCCTGCAGAACAGCTGCATGGGGCCCTGGGGCAGAATTTATGGCTGTAGGAGGTGGTGATGCTCCCTTCAGGCCTTCAAAAGCAGACATATAGTCATTGTCTACTGCAGAAGTCACACCAGATGTCACCCTTGTCACCTGTGAAACTAAAGAATAAAAAGTCAGATTTTGAATGATGAATGGTAACAAACTAAAGGGAAAATTAAATGAATAAAATATGACTTGTATGAATGTGTAATGAACATAAAGCTTACCTTTGGCTGAAGACAGCTCTTCATTCACCCCCTGTCCTGTTGCATTTCTCCTCTCCTCCATTTGACCGCGGGGCATAGGAGGGTGCGACAGCATGTTCTGTCCCAGCCCGGACACCATGTGCATGCGCTGGTGGCGCTTCAGGTTGCCAAGGGAACTACAGGCAAAGCTGCAGCTGTCACATTTATAGGGCTTCTCTCCTGTGTGGATGCGCAGATGCCTTTGTAGGTTGACCAGCTGCGCAGAGGCATACGTACACAGTGGGCAGTTATAAGGCTTCTCACCGTTGTGCGTCTTCATGTGGCGCTTGACATGGTTCGCGTAGCGAGATGAGAAACCACAGAGGTGACAGGAGTGCAGATTGGAGGATTTATCCTCACACATTTGTGCTTTGTCAGCCAGCCCGTCAACTTCATCCTCTCCTTCGGCTTGGGAATGGATGAGACTCCCACCTCCAAATGGTAAACAGAAGTCTGTTGTTTTAGCTTTGCAGCATCGAAGGCAGAAAGACCCAATGTGGTCTGTCCCAGGTTCCAAAGGGTCGTCCCAGAGCTGACCACAGCCGCGACAGCACAGATAAGGAGGAAATGAGTGATCAGTCTGGACGCCTCTGCTCTGGTCTCCCCTCATGCTGTGTGAGTGGTCTGCGTCGCTATCCATTGTAAGTTGACTGTAGACAGAGTTCTCTTGGTCACCCAAAGGATACACAGAAAAGCCGATCTCAGCCGCTACGTCTGAGGAGCACACACACACACACACACACAAATACATAAAGGAACAAACTAGAAAATGTTCATCTTACAAGACAAACTACAACACAAAGCAATAACAAATACAACCAGTGGCAATTCAAAACTCACCTTGCAACCAAAAGCAAAAATTAAAACGATAACAAAAGAAAAACCTCACACCCTGAAAATGTGCAGCCAGAAAGTGGAGCTTGTGAAATAGTGCTTCCTCTGCAGGAGCTGAGGGCATGTGAGGAGCGCGAGAGTGGAGGCTGGCTTTATATCCTGGACCCTGGAAACCTCTGTTGATGATTACTGGCCTAATGATGATGATGATGATGATGATGATGACCGTCATGGAGAGGCTGCAGCTGATGATGATGATGATGATGATGATGATGATGATGATGATGAACAAATGCCCTGTCTAAGGCGCCATTGATGGTAATGGCCCTATTTTATGACCTTATCGGTGCCTCTTTCGTCCAATTTTCCATTTCTGCTCTCTGTCTTTGAGCGAGCTAAGAAATATTCATCATGAGGCCTATTCTTCTAGTGGGACACAGAGGCTGTTACCTTCCTGATCTATTGCACAATGAAAACATTTACAAAACATTTCGAGTTATGATTATAACGATGGTAAAGACTATCAATAAATACAATCTTTTTTGAACTCTAGCATCAAATGTGCAGCTGGCGATTTTCAGTTTTCATTATACATTTACAAGCATAGACGGTACGGTGAGGTTATTATGGGCTACTAAGGCATGTTTATTATTAATCTATTCCAGGCTAAAAAACATTGAGTTAGCATTAGATATCTCATTGACCATTTTATAAGGGCTTGTTCACACTAAACGGTGCAAAAGGCCAAAAAATAGATTTCAATAATCAGAAGATTTATCATGTTTTTCATTTCTCCAAATACCTCTTCTGTCCAATAGTAGTTAGACTATAGAAGACGACTGTTTTATACTTTAGTCAAGTTTCCTACAGTGGCTCTGTTTATTTAACAGACCTGATGTCTTTGATGAAATGAGCTGTGGAAGTTTGTCACATATTTTGAGATCCACAGTAGAACTTTCATAGAGTTAACCAATTAAATGTGATACCAGAACATCAGTTTAATTTTCTTCTCAAGTTTAATTTTTAGAAATAAATGGACAGAAACCATCACATCCCTAACACATTTTTCAGTCATTTAAATTTGTAATGATTGTTTTTCAAAAATGATTATCTTTTAAATTAAGTGATTTACTTGTTAATCTTGTAGGAGTTTCAGACTGAGGACATTTTATTGGCGTCACAGAAGAATTATCAAATCTGGTATGTTAAAAATTTGCCAAACAAAGGCTCTTGTCAATCTTTTCTTTTGGTTTTATCCACACTATCTCTTTGATATGTCTGTGTTTGATTTGTTTTTTTCTAATCTATGATAGTGATTTTAGTTTGAGTTATAACCTCTTAAAGTCCAGACACTTTAATTGACGCATTATAGTGAACACAACCATGAATAATTATAAAAGCTTATTTGCTTGAGAAAAACAACTCTAAAGTCTAATATATTCTATATTCATACACTGGTTTATGAATTTGTGTGGGGTCCTTGATGACATACGCTTTGAGTGCCTTGAATGGGTAGAAAAGCACTAAATAAATTCTATAGATAAAGAGATAGATATACATATACATCTATATAAATGTTTTTATATAGATGTATATGTATATGTCCCAGTTTACTGGGAGAAGTATGGTAACTTCTAACACTATCCTCTCCTCCTTCCTACTTTATTTGTTTTGAATTATTAGGATTTTGACTGTAGTTTGTTCATTGGTATTCATCCGTTGTCCCATTGTCTGTTTCATGGTACGATGACGGGATCTCTGAGCCTGGCCTCCTCCATCTACACCTGCGGACTGCCCCACCCGACCCGCCTGGGAGTGCTTCGGTCCTGCACCGGACCTGTCCACGTTCAGCGGCCACTGGTCCACGTTCTGTAGCTAGCTTAGGTCCTGGATCATTAGCCTGTCCATCCGGAGGAGCGGATCCCTTTCTCAAACTATGGGTCTCCCTCCCTGTGGGTTTCCCTAGTTCTCCCCAAGGTTTTTCCCACTGGGTTTTTTAAGAGTTTTTCCTTGCCGATGCAGGAGGGTCTTGTTGGACAGTTAGTGTCCAACAGAAAGGATTGGTGATGATCAGGACACTTTAGCATTCTACAACATGTATGGACATTTTCTTCTGTGTGTGCTTTATATTTTTCATGTGTTTTAACTGTTGATTCTCTGACCTGTGTTGGTGATTTCAATGGTTTTGTTAAGTCCTCTGAGATGACTTCTGTTGTGACCTAGGGCTATACAAGAATAAATTGTATAGTATTGTATTGTATTGATAGATATAGATATATAGATACAGACATACAGACAGACAGACGGATAAAATGTCTGGGTAATTAAATCTGTATCAGGGTGTTCATATAATTTCCATTCATTAAACAGAGACAATAAACCAGATAAAGTTGTTTTTACAAACCTGCAAACTTTGCCAGATCTAAAATTTTGTCATGATCAGAATCCTCAAAGTCAAGTTCAGGTCCCAGGAGGATGTCTGTATCCAAGCGAAGATTTCCAGGAACTTCTAAGGCTAAAGCATCATCAGAATCCACTGCAGGAGAAGAAAACAATATTGCAAAATTGTATATCTACGAAAATAAATCACATGTCAATATTTAATGTGAGAACCTATCATAAATAACACTAATGCAGTAATAGCTGACAGATGCGGCTCATTTACACGACATTTCTAATGAAGCCAGATTCTAGCGCAGTGGCTTAATGACAGCCAAAGCACTGCACCACAGCTGTCACAGAAACTATTACCAGGGTTCAAGGACGATACCACAAAATCATGGCTTTATACTGCCCCCTACTGTACATTTACTGCTACTATCAAACTGAAAACAAATGAAAAATACTAGCTTTACATGCATTACTATTAAATACATATACATATAGGCCTGTCTCGATGATTACTATATGGACTTATATTTAAGGTCTATATTAATTATTATAATGCATTTTCTTGTGGAGGGTGGAATGATTTTAGCATGTTTTCAAAATAAACATATTTATGTGATCCGTCTGATAATGATACATATGACTTGATTCTGCCATTTATTCACTTAATGATTGTAAGTTAAATGGGCACATGCTTTAAAACTCTTTACTGGGAACATCCTGCTGTATTGCATTTCAATATAATCGTTTATTCAAAACAGTTCTGTATTGATATCGTCCATCAACATCGATTACAGTCCTGTATAAACTCTTCATATAAACCAAAATACATGTCATAATAAATATGGCATAATGTTGTTTTGTTAGGAGGATGTGTACGTACATTTGACCGGTTGTGGATTCTGCTGTTTTTTTCTGGGCATCTTCTGGTCAGCCTCAATATGTTTGTTGTGGTGTCCCTCCACACACCTTTACTTCACAACCATCAGTTTCTGTAGGTCCACTCCATTACAGGCCTGCATAATGGTTCATTATTACATGCAACTCCCCTATCCATCCTGTTATAATAAAATCGTAATAATACAAGCAATACATACTGTTGTCATTGTAATTGTTTGATGGTTTAGACATACATACTTGTCACAAAGAAGCTGTTTGCAAGAAAATAGGCCACAGTCAACCCAGTGCATGTAAAGCTACTATTTATAAAAGGAAGCTTTGCGTTTTGCAAATGCACACAAATGATAATGTTAAGTATGTCCTGATTTGAAAGAAGTTACAACTGACTCGTTACAGAGGTTATTGTTTTTACCAAAAGCAGAAAACTTCCAACACTGAGCTAACAAACATGCTAACTTACCAAAAATAGAAGCATATTCCTCACGTTGGTGTTAGCAGCTAGCGATAAACCTGTTCTTAACAAGGTTTCTCTGCTTCAAATATTCAGCGCACAAAGATCCGCCATGTTTTCAAGGGCTGCCGTGACAAAGAAAGGCAATTAAAAGGTATTTTTCATAACTTAATTGATTTTTCCACAGCTCTTTTTGGTTGTCAATGGATGAGGTTCAGTGATGCAAGTTCCGGGTTTGCTTTTCAAAATAATACAAAATAACAAATTTGACACGAATCAAAACAAACATAATAAGTGTCTATTGTGTGTCTGTATGCATTATAATGACAAATAAAAGTATATATGTGGATTAAATTGCTTATGGTCATGTTTAAACTCTACACGCATTCCGTAATATGCATCCTCGCAACATCTTTAGTTTTATATTGACACGTTTGATGTCATTTCCGTTTCCGCAACTAAGCAAGGGATTGTGGGTTTTGTAGTTCCTACCTGTTTATAGCTACTAATTTACAAAAAAACTAAATATTACTTGAATAAAACATACCAACATGACAATGGTCCAAAAGTGAACAACAACAATAATAAACACGGTCGATATACTTCACAAATAGAGGCGTTTGCTAGTTTATTTATTTGAAACAACATTTTCACAATAAACATACCAGGCAGAGACATTTAAATACAAGTGCTTGGTGTGAAAAGCAGTTGTATTAAGCAAACGTAAATATGGGGGGGGGGGGGGGGGGGGGGGGGGAAGGGAAATCCTGGTATTTTGCGTCATCCTATTGGTTAAGCCACTGCAGTGAAGCTGGTCTCGGATCCATTAGTCTGTTCTGTCTGCTCGGCGCTCTCCGGGAGGCTTTTCTCCATGTCTCATCCACAGATCGCGAGGTACGGTCCCTCTCTACGCTCTCCGCGGTCACACACGCTCTTCTTGCTGCAGTGAGAGACAAGGAGACTGGGGATAACTTGCCTGCTGGTTGGTCCATCAGGGGAGGAGCCATTGGTTGATGCTTCACTGCAAAGAGAAGACACCGCAGCGAGGTAGAAATCTCCTCTTTACGCTCTATGTAGTATGTGCTATTTGTTTATTCCCATATTATTTAGGATTGTCACTGTTTTTGTCTGTTTATCTTCGTCTCACATTGTCGCATTTCCCTGTGATTGTTGTAATTGTAGTTGCTATTAGCAGTACAGTATCCAAACCGTGCCACTCCCTGCAACATTGATGCTATGGTTTTAAAGGATGTCTTCAGGATAATTTAAAACCACCGAGTGATGCATATTTTACAACAAATGTATTGAAAGTGTATTATTCAGTCGCCCACGTGTTTTATTCTATTCAGTGATAAAAATAAAGAATGTATCACTGAATAGAAAGAAAACGTGTTTCAACACTATGCTTGTTACTTAATAACACCAACAATAATAAAACTATTACTTCTATGCAAGTTGTTGTGCTATAGCTACAGGATGTCCCCTGCCACTTGGCTCTATGGTGTACCTCATGGTCTATTGTAGTGATGTCAGGGATGCCTATGGGAGTGTGCCAGTGTGTGTTTATAAGCAACAGACTGAGGTCATTCAGTCTCCAGGACCCGCAGTGCTGATGGGGGTTGCTGTCCAGTGAAGAGGAATTTAAAAGGCTCTATTCTAAGCTTCTCCTCTCGAAAAACTCTTGAACACAGCGACTGCCTAGCAACACCTTTGCCCTAAGGTGAAAATGTTTCTTTTCTCATGATTTTCTTCCTTCAGGAGAAACCTCAGGACAGATGCTGCTTGTGTAATGCCATCTGTCATTTTATGTCATATGCTGTAAACAACTAGAAGGCTTTGGTCCATCCTCGTTCTAACCACTAAAACTGTTTCCGTCCTCTTCACCCTATTTTGATAAAAGGCTAGAGTACACCATTATACAACACATTTTATTTCAATGTATGTATTACTGTATGAATCCATTCATCAAAAGAGGCATGATTATCTCCCAGACTAATGATATATGTTTGTGTATTTAGGTTTTCATGATAAATTATATGATAATTACTATTGAAGATAAATAGATATAAATATCAAGTAAATATTAGTGCTCATATTAATCAGGATACACAAACTAATACACTACAACATTATAGCTGAGGCTAATTCTAAATATTTGTCCCTCGATGGGCTTTTATCACAGACAGTACAACATAAAATACAGACACAGACTATGATGCTTATAATATATCCATAGATGCTCATTGCATTATTGGTTTTGCCAAAGGGCCAGAGTACCACAGTTGATTTGTCCATTACTTGTGAAAGGAAAAATTAATCTGTAGAAGTAAAGAAGATGATCCTACAAAAAAAAAAAGAAGTCAGACATCCTTAGTTATGAATGATCCTATCAAATACTTGATATACAGTATCTTGGTCAAGCTGAAATTAGGTTTGGCTATTGTTAAACTTGTGCTGTCTTTCAGTCTGTCCCAGTGTCTCCTTCGTCACTCACAGATTCACAATCCATCTGGGGGTGTCATTTGAGACATTATAGGTTGAATTACACACTGTCCTATTGTGTTTGAATTGTGTTTCTTTCTTATTTTTTTCCAGACAGTGGTGAATGAAAAGTGAAGGCAGTCCAACACTCACAGAGCAGACAACACAACCATGCTGCGGAGAGGCTTCATTTTTGCAGTGTTCCCCTCAGGCAGGGATTACCTTCTTGGACTCATGGCTCCCTCTCCCGTTCCACACAACAGAGGTCCGCTTCACTGAGCTGCCCCTCCTAAAAACAACAGTCCCTGCATTCAGCCACCGCTAACAACCCATGCTCGTTGGTCTCTTCTCCTCTGCTGCTGCCACTGCTCCAGTTCTCAGTCATGAAGAGGCCCAAACAGCAGACCGGGCCCTTAAGTTTCTTAAACTTCTTCAGCCGAAAACCCAAAGCTGAGCCGAATCTTGAGAAGAATGTGGAGGTTCGGACCAAAGAAGAAGTGGCCATCACTCTGACTCCGAGCGAGCATCCAGAGCAGGTAACACCAGTCGATATTAATCATTGCAATTGTTCTTTGTTAAAAAACTGACATTGTTATGCACAGGAAATCAAAACAGAAGAAGTGGGAGAAACAGGGGTTTCTGTGGCAGAAAATGTTGAAGAATCTGGGATGACAGTGACTGAGGCAGGTGAAAGTGCCGTTGCCACAGCGACCACAGAAGTGGGCGGAGTCTGTGCTGGCTCCACAGGCGTGCTGTCCTTCTGCTCGTCCAGTCAGGAGCAGCTGCTGGAGGAGCACCTGGAGGAGTGCCCTCTGTGTTTGCTGAGCCAGCCACGCTGCCACTTCCCACACCTGTCGTCCTGCTCACACCGCGCCTGTGCAGACTGTCTGCGCCGATACCTGCGCATTGAGATCTCAGAGAGTCGTGTGGGCATCGCGTGTCCTCAGTGTCCCGAGAGTCTGGAGCCTCAGGACATACGGGCCATCCTGGATGACCAGGCTCTTCTGGACCGTTATGAGGAGTACCAGCTCAGGAGGTTCCTGGCGTCAGACCCAGACACGCGCTGGTGCCCTGCGCCTGACTGCAGGTATGCACAGAGCTTCAAGAACCAAGGGAACGACATCAAACTAAACGCAAATATACACACCCTATAACACTTTTTCTTGTAGAAAATGAATGAATGGAAAATGGTAAAAAGAGTAAATAGTAGAAAAAACAGTTGTGTAGCTCTCGTCATATCTCAATTACATCCTCACATTCTTCATGGTCCATGTGGTTTAACAGTGAGACTTTTCTAGACACTTTGTGAAAGTGCATTTTTTTGTGGTGAACCCTGACAAAACAAAACCGATCTGATAAAGGCTATTCCTGTTTATTCCTCAGCTATGCAGTGATTGCGTATGGATGTGCAGAGTGCCCGAAGCTGAGCTGTGGGCGTGAAGGCTGTGAGACAGAGTTTTGTTACCACTGTCGGCAGCTGTGGCATCCGTACCAGACGTGTGACCAGGCTCGAAGGCAGCGCGCTCGCCACACATCAGGGGGCAATGACGCCTCTGCACTGTATGTCTTCAATGAAGAACCTGGAGGTGGGATCTATTTATACTAACCAGAAATCTCATCTTTTCTCTAAGTATTGACTGACTTTGTTACAGATGCCGAGGAGATTAAAGCATGCCCACGCTGTGGTGCCTACATTATGAAGACCAATGATGGCAGCTGTAACCGAATGAACTGCACAGTGTGCGCCTGTCAGTTCTGCTGGCTCTGTATGCAGGAGATCACCGACGTGCACTACCTCAGGTCTATTTGACTTTTTATTTACGGCATTGAGTGATGTAATTACAACCATTTCACTGTATTTCACTTAATTCATGTCTTGTCTTGGGATCACTACAATACTATGTAACAAGGATTATTTTTCAACTCAGCGCTTTCATAAACCCATCCAGCAGTCTTTTAAAACAGCAGTTTTTAATAACAATTGTATAAACTAAATTAAAAAGAAAAGGGCTAATGGTTAGGATTAATGTTACTCAAACATACAAATTATATTATACTTATTTTTTTTAAATAAAAAAGCAGGCTGCAATCTCTGCTTTGCACTATTTCTGACTCCTCTCGTAGCATCTAGTTAGGAGCACATAAAAACTGTGAAAGTCAGCATTCAGCCTGTCATTGTTCAGAAACTGCATTAGCCTACACACTCTTCATCTGGCCTCCTATTGATTTTTCCTGCCTGGGATCCACTGCTGACTTGTCATTATTTCTCAGCTTGGTTCCAGATCCATATTTTCTTGTGGCACCCGATTGTAAATCAACCTACAAAAACAAAGGTTTTATACATCATCCTGAAGATGATATACATATTACTTTTTTAATATTCATATTAAGTTGAGTTCTTTAACAGAATGTAATCATCGTCTTAAGATTACTTTATTGTGTGTCTCATTCTTTTCAGTCCCTCAGGATGTACATTTTGGGGGAAGAAGCCATGGTCACAGACCCGCAAAGTGTTGTGGCAGGTCGGCATGTTGCTCGGAGCACCAGTGGTCATCTCCCTTATTGCTGGACTTGCTATTCCAGTCATCATAGTAGGGATACCCATCTATATGGGCCGCAAGGTACGTACAAAGATGTTTGGTTGTTGTTACAATAATATAGTACATTTTAATATTTTTGATATTTTACTTTACTCAGGTCCATGGTCGCTGTAAGAAAAACAATATCTCAGGAAGTAAGCACTATTTGACTGTGGCCAGTGGAGTGATGATGTCCATGTTTGTGTCTCCTGTTATAGCAGCCGTCACTGTGGGTAGGCACATGATTCATACAATACAGATATACAGTATTGACCTATAGTCTTATTTTGCTTGGCTTCATTTTGTTTCCGGACGGGGACATCTGCATAGAATTTACAGGTTTTTACTCCCACTTGCCCCCTTCTCTGGCTGCCACTCTAGTTATATGACTGGAATGGACTGGTTTAAATGTGTGTGTGGCTCAATGAGGTGTGCAGTGGTACAGGCCTCTCTCACTGCCCTCAGTGCCCTGGTTTTACCCCAGTGATTAGTCAATTGTGCTCCACTGTCTCTCTGCTGTGTTAATCATGTCCCTTTTGTCTACTCTGTGCCTGGCCTTGTGTTTCCAAATTCCCAGAAATCTCTGGTATTAGATTAACCCCTTTGAGTTATAGTAATAATAATTAAAAACAACAAGGCAAGGCAACTTTATTTTTATAGCACACAATCATACACAGCATTAATATGATGAATAATCACAGTCCTTCAGTTGTATGCACAGTTTAAACAAAACTGTTTTTAGCCTAAATTTGAACGTTACCACCTACATTAGCCCTTTAAGCACCACATTAACTTGGCTAATTCTGGTGCATTTGCAGAAATGTTTATTCATGCACAATGTCCCTGTCAAATACAAACTAATACAATAAACTAATAAAATGAGTTCCTGAATCCAGAACACATTCTACACAAATGTCTGCTTACATTTTTTAAATATCTTTTATTTTATTATTTCTGTTATTTAAATTAATAAAATAAGTCCTCCAGGGTTCCACATTTTTTAAGTTTCACATCAAACTCATTCTGGCACCCTAAGGAAGAATACACAGTTATTTCTTCTGCATTATAGATGTAAAGAATGGGTGAACAGTTTTGTTAAAGTAAATATAACTACATTTGCATTTTTGTCTATACTGTTTTTATAGGTGTAGGAGTTCCGCTGATGCTGACTTATGTCTATGGAGTGGTTCCTATGTCGCTGTGCAGAAATGGCTGGTGTCGATCTCAGAGTGACTCTCCAGAACCTCACAATATTCAACTCGAGGATCTTGCCAGCTGTTAGTACCTCATTCACTTTGCCGATATAAGTATTGTATAGACAACTGACCTGAACGCCTCATATGTCACAGATCTCCTCTTCTCTCATGTTGTGAGTGACCATTGGACAGGCCAAAGCAACACAGCGCTTAACGACACCAGCCTCCAGGAAGTGCGGGTCAGTGTTCAGGAAGTGGGTGTGTTGCCGAGTACAAGCAGCACTCCTCAACAGATGAATGCGTATGAGGGTTTAGATGAAGCCACCAAACGCCATGGATACCACCACCAGGACAGCCAATCAGAATGTGTGGTGGTTAATGTGCCTGATAATAAGCTCACTGACCAAGAAGATGTCCCTCTGAGGTTAGTAGATCATTGCTTTGTGTCCTAATGATTGCTGAATGCTCTGACGACTAAATAGAGCCCATTTTAGTGTAATCCACTCTCGGTATAAGAGAGCTATGTTTAGATTGTATTGGTCCAATCCAATCCAATCCACTTTATTTATATAGCACATTTCATAAACACGCAGTTTCCAAAGTGCTGCACAACATGCAAAATTGCAACAAATAAATAAATACACACATTTATATAAGAAAATAGATAAATAAATAAAATAAAATAAAAAACACAGTCACTAAACATCATCATGAAGTCCAAGGAGCAGGCCTGAAAGGTCAGGGAGGAAGTTGTGGACAAGTTTAAAGCAACGTTAAATTATACAAACATTTCCCAAGCTTTGAATATCTCACAGAGCACTGTCCAATCCATGATTTGGAAATGGAAGGAGTATGGCACCACTGCAAGGATAAATAGAACTAGAACCTAAAGCCAATTGAAAATCTGGAAGGACCTGGGAACTTCTGTTCACAGAAGCTCACCATCTAATCTGAAGGAGCTCGAGTTGTTTTGTAAAGACAAATGCAAAAAACACTTTCAGTATCTGTATGTGAAAAGCTTGTAGAGCCAAAATACTCGCTGCTGTGATTGCAGCAAGTTCCTCAAAGTATTTTTCTTGTATTCTACTCAACGACTATTTTGAACTGAAAGAGAAAGTGCTTTTCAAATAGAGCCAAGCTTTGTTCTTTGTAATGTGTTTGAAACTACAGTATTTAAAAACTACACTGCATACAAGATTAAAAGCATTTGTTTTTGTTGTTTTATTTAGGGATGGGACGAACATTGAAGTTCGTGTTGAGATTGAGACTCAGCCCAGAGGAGCGCGCCAGTCCAGCCTAAGTAGCATCCTTTCTGTTGAGTCTTCGGGACGCACCCAGTCTCAGTCCCAGGACCACATGTGTGCCTCAGAAGTGGAAGAAAGCCAAAAGACAGAAGACACCAGGCCTGAGGGGTCAACAGAGGGAGCAGTTCTACATGTTTTTGAAGTGGACGCTGTATGAAGTTCTGCATTTTAACATTTTAATTCATTGGCTGTAAGACATACAGAAATACTTATTTCACCTGAAATTGACAGGCTGCAGCCTCCTGCTTCCAAGACTGACCCTTCCACCAGTTGCCTTCTAGCTCCAGCCTCCAGCCTAAAGACAATTAGCAGTAAAGTTGTGTGTTTGAATGTATATAACACACAAATGCAATTTAGCATGAGACTGGACTAAGCAGAAAGGATATTAACGTCTATTAATCTGAAAGAGAGCATGCCTAATTCAGGTGGTCAGTTTGGCGCTACCTAACCCCTTATGTTATTATTGGACTTCAGCCCCCTCTTTGTCTGGCTGTACTGTTCTAATGACTTTGTTTGCCAATAAAAAAGGCCCCTCAAGTAATAGTAAGTAGTAAGTAAGTTTTTATTTATATACCGCCTTTTCACTGCAGATCTGAGTCTCAAAGCGGTTTACAATTGTTAATTATGGGCATTTGTCTCTCACTCCACACAGAGATGGGAGCGCGGTCGCCATCACAGGAGGCGCATGCCAGACCTATTGTACATATTTTTAGTGGTAGGGGAAACCGGAGTACCCGGAGGAAACCTACGCAGACACGGGGAGAACATGCAAACTCCACTCAGAAAGGCCCTGGTCCGACCGGGATTCGAACCCAGGACCTTCTTGCTGAGAGGCGAGAGTGCTATCCACTCAGCCACCGTGCCGCCGGTGGCTGCACGGTGGCCACCGGCGACCGTGTGGCCAAGTATGAGTTCTTTAATGGAGAGTTATGTTGAGTATAGAACACCTGAGCTTCAAGTAAATCAAACTGCGATGACAAATAATCACCAGTAGATGGAGCCAAGCCATGTCTTTTACAACTTAGGCATGGGCTCGTCACTACGGTAGAAACAAAGTTTCTTTTGCTTAACACAAACAGTGCTGATTCCAACAATTGATCTTTAGATTTAGCCTTCCTTGAACTGTTCTCCTGTACTGCTTTTCATTAATAGCTTGGATTTAGAAAGATTTGGCTACATAAAATGCAATTAATAAAATAAATACGGTCTAATAAAATCGTGAATTACATTTAAATTAAACTAAAGTCTCTTCCTAAGCAGAACACTGAGGGATACGTGAGGGAGGGAAAATGTCATTTGATATGGTCGCTCATAGAAAATAGATGAGTATGCGCCCATCCTACCGGGATGACAGGACCCGCCCTTTAGTTTAGGAGCGATGCTGAGTGCAGCCTGCTCAGCTCCAGTCTCCTGCAGGACTGCAGCTCGCACCACGCTATAGTGTTTGAGTTTGGTGCATCCTTCACGGACTCGGGCTCCAGACTGTAGTGAAGAGAGCGGAGGAGGAGAACATCATTCCGGGATGGACGCGCTCAAATCCGCCGGAAGAGCGATCATCAAGAGCCCGGGAGTCCCGCGCCACACATGGGGAACTTCTAAACACGAGAGTGAGTCACACCTTTCAGATAATAAACATGGCACTGGTCTGTTTGCATTTAAAATCTACCGAGACGTGGCTTTAGCATAGTTTTGTGTCTACACTTAAGATGTTTTATAGTTTCTTTCTGAAGTCAATTATCATCAAGATTTTTGAAAACTTAATTTTGTCACATTTCTTTACCTGTCTGGATAGCACACACAATTAACAATGCAATATTCTAATGTATAATTCTTCAGGCCGGTCTTTTGTGTCAACAAACTCTGAGAATGAGAATAAATATATATATTTTTTATACAGTGATTTAAGCTTCCTCACTCTGGACCAGTCTAAAACACTGTCCAGTGTGAGTATCCGTTACCATGGGAACCGCATCAGCATCAGTTCCCAACCGAACCATCAGAAAAGTAGAGAATAATCGAAGATGAGATCAGTTCGTGTTTCTGTTTTAGTCAGCCATGTTAATTCATATTTTGACCCATGCATGTAAAGAGGCCTAATTGAGCGTGTTGACAACAGCTCAGTGGTGTTGAGCTGCCCTTTTCCACAGCGCTGCGGTGGCTGTAGCTGGAGGCCTGTGTGACTGAAGGGTCAGAGCTTTGGCCCATGTCTCCATCAGTGCTGCTGCTGCTGGGGCTCTGCTGTCTTATTGATGTGTGAAGTGCTGTCTGAATACTCGCTCCCCGCAGCCACACAGCCAATTACTACAACTCGCACTGACATAAACGAGAGCATGCTATGGTTCCTGCCTCAACCTGCATTTCTGCTCTTTGAATAATCAAGTGGATACTTTTCATTCAGGGGCGCCGATGAGAAATATGTCCATGTTTGCAACAAAGTATTGAAATGTTCTTCCCTCTAGATCATGGTAATGAGTTGTGAGCCGGACTTGATAGACTCATACTGTCACTATAACGGAGGTGCTGCTGCTATCTTCTTTCCCTACACTGAAGATAAGGAGGGTTGACATTTCCCAGATGCACTTTCTCCTGAAACTTATTGTCTGTGTCATGTTTGAAACCTCTGCGATTGCCTGGTGCTTTCACCTTGTTACTGATTTCTAAGTAACAAAGAGAAAGCACCTTGCCCTGACTGCTTCTCAGAGCGAGGTGCTGAAGGTAGTTTGTGCTTGGAATGTAAAGGCTGAAAAAGTCTTTATTTGTAGCAACAGAGAGGTGGCTGATGAGTTTGCTTACTTTTTGTATATGCACAAAGTACAAAGTATAACAGCTTTAATTAGGAAAGGAAACTTTGGCCTGTTCAGGTCGCATGATGACAGTAGGTCTGGGTATTTCAGAGCCTGCAGATGCGATAATTAACTTGATACCCATAGCACAAGAACAACACATATCTACACAGGATTATTAAATATATGATTCAGTATGATATATTTCTAAATGATTCTATGCAAGATGTGGACCTGTATCCTCATGATCCATACCATTTTACCCAAAATACAACATTGGTGCATTAGAAAAAAGTCTTTCCAGTCTCATGCTTATGTTACAAACATATTTACAAATCATAAAGACATTGAAATATTGGGGGGGATTAAATTAGGTCAGTTTTTAATATTTCGGTGACTAAAAACATCTTATTTGGGGCTTTGTGAGTGAAACGTGAACATCACAATGCTTTATTATAAATACATCATTCTGGTATAATCATCAATAAATAAAAAGCACGTTAATGTTAGTTCAAATAATTTTTAGTTTACTAGTCTTGACTTAACTTATTATATTATCAATGTTTGTCACTTCTTGACCACCCTACGTTACCTACAGAACCATAAAACAACTTTGAACAGAGTAAAATGATGTTGAGGAATAGTTTCTAAAGAGCTGAGTGTGGACATTCGGGTTATTTAGGTTGCACATACTGAGGTGTGCAGTAATCTTGGCTGCCCTCTCGTCCTGCTATTGTCATCTGTTGAGGTCAAAGAACGGCATAGAAGAGCACACAGCAGGCGCCCTGGGACCGAGCTTTCCCCTCGGCTCCTGTCACTGCTCCAGAGACCCCACACTTGCCCTTGGCACCAAGGACACAGTGTACAGTCTGCACTGCTTTAGAAGCCGGCGTTGGAACAGGCCCAAGAGCATAAGGACACTCATGACACAAACTACACTGAAAACAGCATTAGTTCTGTTGCTGAACAGACGGTTTCAACAAGGACACTTCAAAGCAGCTGCATGTGATATGGTTCTTTTATGGAGAATTGTACTTCGGATAAGGCGAGTTAAGATTCTCATAACTACTCATATTTGATTATAATGGCTATAAATGTTTTACCTCCTCTTCATCATTGTGATTGTATGAAAGAAATAGTATGAGTGTGATAATTTAAGATATTCCTTTATTCGTCCCGCAGAGAAAAGAAGGAAATAAGAGCACTCAGATTGTACACATCAAACAGAGTCTATAATTTAAGATAATAGATAATACAATTAAAATAATAAGTAATAATAATAATAATAATAATAGTAAAATTAAAATCTGGAGCTATAATTGCACTTGGTTCAGAGGTATTTACAGATGTTGTACTTTAGCAGTAGAGAATATGACCAACATAAACAATAGTAACAATATCAGCAGTAAAGTGACTAGTGAATGACAGAAATATCCAGATGAAGGAGTTTGTAATAAGGCAGTAATACTAACAGGTAAAGTGACTAGTGAATTATTATCAGTGACACTTGTCCAGACTCAGCAGTTCTCGTTATACAGTCTGACAGCAGCAGGAAGGAAGGATCTGTGAATCGTCTCCTTCACACAGCGAGGATGAATCAGTCTGTCACTGAAACTGCTTTCCAGAGCAGACAGAGTGTCCTGCAGGGGGTGACAGTCATGGACAGTCACACATTAACAAGGAACACCCCCTCACATGTCAACCAGCAGTTATATTTCTCCCTTTTGTATTGAGATGGCAATTCAATTAAATGTATTCCTGTATAGCCCTAAATCACAACAGTAGTTATCTCTGAGGACTTTACACAACAGTTGAAATCGCCAACACAGATCAGATAATCAAACCGTTCAAACAATAAAACATGTTGAATTTTCAGTTCCCTGGATTATCACCATTGTCCTTTTAGTTAGACCTCACAAGACGCTAACAGACCCTCCTTCACATCATACTGACTTCACACTGGTTCCCAATCTACTGCAGACACCACTCCTCTGCATCCCCTTTACCTGTATTATTTTTCTCCATCCCTCGCCTGTCGTGAGGAAAAACATATTGACGAATGTTTCAGCTGACATCATCACAAACAGTCACATCACTTACTCACTCACTCTCCTTCTTGACACCAAACTAACCGCTGTTTAGAATGAAAATGTCAAAACATGGCCCCTTGTGTCTTACTGGAGGCGTGACGTGAAATTAGTGGCCTGCATTGACTTGTTATAGCTTCTCCCTCATGGCTGCTCCGACTCTGCTGATGGGGCTTGTATCAGAGCTGACAGGGACTTGACAGAGTGACATTCAGGAGGGATGGGGTAGTAGAAGGGGGTTACCCAGGACCCTCCAGGAGCAATTATCTCGAGATGGCTCGTTAAGACTCAGTCGCCCGTGAGTTACAGAGAGATGCCTGCACACGAGGCAAGGCATTGTGGGAAGCGAGCGGAAAATGAAAGAGAGGATGTCAGCCGTATAGAGATGGAGCAGCGGATGTGTTGTAGGGGGATTCTTGAGTTCTGCACGATAGAGACGCAGAGGGGATGGTAAATGGTTGTGGTGTGTGTGGATTGGTGCTTTGATGAGGATTTAAAGTACCTTTTGATTTTGACTTCGTACCGGATTACACTACTACAACCTTCAGCAATTTTATATTCATTAAGCAATTTTCTTCTTAGGGAAATTTATCTCACAGGGGATATTGAAATGGCAGCTTTGAAATGAACTGACGCTGAGTGTAGCCTTTTAGCAAGAGGTGCCGGAAAGGTGAAATTAGCATAGTCTTAGCGCCATAGTAGAAGAGGGCTTAGCTTATCACTCGCTCCGAGGTTGTGCTTATACTCTCAGAGCTGGGGTTGTCATTGTCATTGTGTGTCTCTAGTCCCAAAATAACACATTTTTTTGTTTATTGACCTTTATTTACCAGGACCTAGACTGGATGTCTTTTGAAGGAGGATGAAACTCAGTGCTGGGAAAGGCCCCATGTTGCTTCAGTATTGAACCCAGTTGAATGTGTGTGGGGAGAGTTCTCAATAGAATATACCCATGAGGTCCATTTTTCTGGTTTCCCACTGTCTTGTATTGAATGCAATGTATAATTGAAGAGGCTTTGTTGTCTCTGCGCTATACCCCTGCATTGAATTCATTAGGTCAGGCTTGTAGAGTTATATGAAACTATCGCAACACTGAAACACCCTGTTCCAGATCATGAGCTCGTCAGGTCATATTCATCCCATTTATTAGTCAATTTCTGGGTCAGGGGGGTGGCAATCAGAGCTGCCACCCAATCCTCAAAGGACCAGCCCCTCACTGATCCTCCTGCAGGTGGTGGGTCCACAGAAAGATGGCTGCTCTATCATTGCAGACACAGCCTTGGTCTTTCAACGGGGGCCTCCGGCAAAGTGGTGTTGCGTGTTTTGGCCAGGGACACAACGACAGCAGACCTCAGAAGCAGCAGGTGACATGAGTCGTGGGGGATCCAACCTACAACCATTACATCGAAAGACTCTTACCAACTGAGCCAATTTCAGCAGTAAATCACTAAATTTAAAATTGAAACAGAAGTGATGCGTTAACAGTAATAATGTAATTCAGACACATATTTTCTTGCTTTTTCTTGCCAATATCCTAAACCAAAGACTTCTATCTTAACATACAACCTTGACTAAGTGCATGCGCTGAGCTTATCTGCAGTCCGTTACACAGTGATTTCACAGGACAGATTTCTCATCTTTACTCTGCATAATTTGCGCTCACATTCGTCTCAGAGCCAGCGGAGATGCAGCGATAAAGTGCTGCTAATGAGTTTTCACGGAGCTGGGAAACCTGTCCAT